TGAATATGCTTTATAGTTTATAATTTCCCTTTCTGTATTATTACACTTTACTTGCCCCCATTTCTGTTACTCCACCCCCTTGTTTTGCAATGCTGAGTTCTGTTGATACCAACGGTGTTTATTCCTGATTTTCAAAATTACGAGAATGTGTCAGTGTTTTAGATACATTCACAAACATCCTGGCTAAGGCAGTCAGATAGTGTAGTGGACGGAGCTGCAGCTTACTGGTCGGGACCTGGCTGGTTCGAATCCCAATCCATGCTGAGTTTGCCGGGATTGAGTGTGGAGACAAAATTGATCCAGAGCTTCCCAGGGATATCTGGGTTTTCTTCTCCCTCTATTGCTGTGATGGCCAACCCATGGCCTTCAATCGATATTGTGTTTCCACAATGTTGATTATGATATGAATCAAGAAATATTCAATCAAAGTTTCTTTTGTTGGCTGACCAAAAGGTTGCCCATCACTGTTCTACAGCACCCTGGTAGGGTGAGTGTGCAGCAGCCGGGTGAGGGGAGGTCAAGCTCGGCTGTCACGCCCTCTACAAAAATAGTTGGACAGCTACATTTAAAGGTTATGTTTTTAGTCAGAGCTGAGTTGACTTTCACGGCAGGAAGGATAAGGGATTTTCCTGTTCTCATTCACTTTCATCTTGCTGTAGGCTTACGGATGAATCCCGGAAGCTTGTGAGTGACCTGGGAAGTACGGCGATCTTGAGCCTTGGCTTCAGGGACAACTGGATTTTTGTGGGGGCAAAAGGAATTAAATCGAAAAGCCCGTTTGAACAGGTAAACACATTTTTTCAAAACTTCTAGCACAAAATGTATCAGAGGAGACAAGAACAACTTGTCGCCCTTCACACTTGTCGCATCTCAGAGCACTTCACAGGGACAAAGTTCCAGAAATTAGGAGTGTAGGAATGGAAGATGGTGGCACAGAGAAGGCAGGGACATGTCAAGTTAGCCGAGTGGAGGGGCAGCCAGAGGAGATCAGAGACATAAGTAGGTTCTTGGTCGTGGATAGATTTGCAGGTGAGGGTTGAGCAACTTGTAATCAATCTGCTGGGAGATGTAGAGCCAGGAAAGGACTGGGGTGCGCGGAGATTAATGCAGGTGAGGATGCAGGCGGCGGAGTTTGGATGAGGTTCAGCTTGCGAATGACAGAACGAGGGAGAGAGGAAGGGATAGCAGTTTGGGACAAGTATAAGTGGATCTACCTAAGGCAAAGAAAAGAGAAGAGAATTTCTCTCTCCCAGTGTCCTGGCTAACAGCCCCCAAATAAAATAGTCATTCACTTCCGAGTCCTAGCACTGAAAATTCAAAATCTCTTCTTTGAATTCAATGGGAAGTGGTTAAATGTTTCCAGTCGTATTTAAACAGTATAGAAGGAGGACGGAAGGCTAGCGATTCTGGAAATTGTAAACTTATATGATCTACATCCAAAATGATCTTGTGGCATCTAAACCTTTTTTTCTTCTTATGTAGCACATTAAGAATAATAAAGATACAAACAAGTATGAAGGCTGGCCGGAGGTTTTAGAAATGGAAGGATGTGTTCCTCAGAAAAAAGATTAAATAATGAACACTGGAAAATTCGGTAGCTATTTAACCTTTCCCAACTTTCGGTTTTTTTTGTGTGTGTTTCCAAATCCCTCTCTGTTCATCTTTTGGTTTGCGTTCGTTTGTTGAGATGAAAGGGAGCCATGAAATGGGAAGTAATCAACGTGGAGGGAAATGCTCCGTGAGTCTACAAGGAGTTTTTCCTTCGTTTAAATCGTCCACCGGCCCTTATTGTTTATGACGCATTAGTCCGTACTTGGAATGGGGAAAACAAGTCTTTCTTAGTAAAGCTCCACTTCTCCACCACTTGTACCCACTTCACAAACTCTTCCATGCCAATTGCAAGGCTTCGTTATCAAATTGTTTGTAAATAAGTCGACCGCCTTCTGTTTTTCATAAAAACAGAATTATTGTAGAATGTTGAACTGTATTGCAATTTGCATCTCTGCAAACATACCGGAGATGATGGAAAATTAATTCTTTGATGCAAATTGTGACATTTAGTGTCTTAAACACAATCTTGGTGAGTTCAGAGCAAGATGAAAGCTGTTATCTTGCCACCACCTATGCACTGAGCCTACACTGTTAATTATTATTATATACTTATACTATTGCCATCCTCTCCCCTGAAAGTTTTCAAATTCTAATTGTACATTTCCATTCAAAATTATGGTATGTCTGAATGTGCAGTTAACTGACATTGGTGATCGACAAGCAACAATTGGGTTTGTTTCAGGATCGTTGTCTTGTGATTTTAAAAAAATCTTCTCATCAATTTGGGGATCAAAATGGATGCTGATGTTTGATTTGATGGCGTCTTCAAACCAAAACAATCTTCTGTTACTTCCACAGTGGAGCTTGTGCCTTTCAGCAGCTTTTACACAAAGCTTATCAATGTTAAACCCAGACGAAGATGTGAGAAGCTTTGTTCTGAGCAATAATGGACTTTTTTTAAATGAAATGATCGCAGACAAGAGTAATTTGTGGTTTCTGTTGTGTAAATAATTCCTTCATCTCATCTGTCATTTTTATATAATAAATAACTTGTGAACCCTGTGCAGGGATAAGGAGTGCACTATGCATTTTATTTTGCAATGGCATTTTTCAAATGGAAACGTGGGGCTTTTTTTGCTTCCTTTTAATTTGAATTGCGAAATTAAATATCAGCCTGCAGGAATAGTCCATCCGCTCATTTGTTTTTATGCTTGATCGAATCCTCTCCATTTTGTGAATATTTGGGAAATGTTGTGTTTTGATACAGCCGTCTTTTTTCTAATTGAAAGTCCCTATGCCTTTTCTTTGTTTTTAGCTCAGGCGTTTTGGGCCATTCAACACAAAGTGTTGCATAATGCGAATTTATGGTTGAAATATGTGTGGGTTTGAATTCAATGTACTTAAAGCATAACACAAAATTCTAAATGCAATCTATGATTATTTCATGCCACACAAAGATAAATGAATAAATAAATAAAGCTAAGATAATGGGTTCTGTGTGTCTTTCGCGTTTAAATTTACAAATCAACAGTGATTCCAAAACTTTCATAGCAACTTGCAATTATACAGTGCCCTCCATGCCTGGCGGCATCTCAGAGTGCTTAACAATGGTGGCGTCCAAGGCCGAGCCAGGGCGAGGGGAAGGTGACCCTAGGCTCGGTCGAAAAGTAAGGTCTTCAGGTGTGACCTGAAGATGGGAAAGGAGGGGCAACGCGAAGGGGTTGTGGGAGGGAGTTCCAAAGTTTTGGGGCATAGTGGCTGAAATCACAGCCACCATGGTGGAGTGGAGGGACAATGGACTGCGGAAGATCCAAGCCAGACGAGCAAAGCAGTGAATAGTGGAGTATGAGCCTAATAATCATCCTTACACTTGCAATACCTTTCATGTCAGGAGGACATCTCAGCTCCTCCCAGGAATTCACAGTAAAGTGTAGCGACTATTTGTAGGCAAATGTAGCAGCCAGTTTGTGCAAGACAAGGTCCCACACACAGCTATGGAGTGAGTGATCGATTTTATTTGGGGGATTGTTGGCCAGGACAGCTCCCTTCTCTTTTCTAAGTGCTATAGGATCTTTAACATCCAAATGAAAGGCAGACGTGACTTCTCATTGTGAAGGATGGCACCTCCGCCAATGCAGCGCTCCCCCTAAACAGCTGAGACTGAGTTGAAAGTCCCGATGTGGGCGTGAACCCACAATCTTCTGAATGAGAGGTAAGAGTGAGGCAGAACTGAGCCAGGCTGACACCTATTGCCTTGTTCCACTGAGAAGATGATGAAAGGGACCTTGACCTCGAGGCGATGGTCCACCCATGAGGGTAATGGTCAGGGGCCTTGCAACTATGAAGAAAAGGTGAGCTTGTTCAGTATCCTGAGCGACTGGAAGGGGAATATTCGAGTATTCCAATTAACAATGCTGCTCTTGGTCTTCTGGATGGGGGAGGTGGCGGGGCTGGGAGGTGCTCGGAAGCAATATTGGTGAGTTCCAATGGTGTCTTCTACAGGTACCATGCTCCGCGTAGTGACTGGGACTTTCGGAGAAGGAGTGGATGTTGACCCCAATGGTCATGCACCAGTGAAACAAATTGCCCTCTCTCACTCTGTCTGATGCTGAGCTTGAGGTTTGCTTTAGAAATCTTGTTCAGGCGAGCCAATACAAATATTTTAGCAGTAGGTGCACTAGAGGTACAAGAAGCAGTGAACTCGACTGGTGCAGTACATATTTAAATCACATCCTTCCAGAACAGTCACCCAAGTGTCCTGTTATCAGACTATCGAGCTGCTTTTAAATAAGTCCCAGTGTCCTGGCCTCAACAACACTTCCTGGGAACATGTTGCAGTCATTAATGGGTAAAGAAAAGCTTCCTGGTGACTATCCTAAATATGCCTTCAGTTCCTACATCTATACCCTCTAATTCCCTACCTCTACCCCTCAGACTCTAACCTCTCCCAACTCCATCTACCTGTCTACCCCGACTGTCACTTCTGTCTTTATGTCCCACTTCTTTTTTTTGATCAGCTGGGTATCTGACACTCAGAAACCCATCACTGTGGGGGGGGTGGGGGTGAGTGTGGGGGGTGTGGGGGGAGTGTGGGGGTGGGGAGGGGGTGAGTGGGGGGAGTGGGGGGGTGGGGGAGTGTGGGGGAGTGTGGGGGAGGGGGGGAGTGTGGGGGTGTGGGGGAGGTGGGGGTGGGGGAGGGGGGGTGTGTGGGGGGAGTGTGGGGGGAGGGGGGAGTGTGGAGGGGGGATGTGGGGGGAGTGTGGGGGAGGGGGGAGTGTGGGGGGAGTGTGGAGGGGTGGGGGGTGTGGGGGGAGGGGGTGGGGGGAGAGGGGGAGTGTGGGGGGAGTGTGGGGGTGGGGTGAGTGTGGGGGGGTGGGGGAGGGGGGGGAGTGTGGGGGTGTGGGGGGAGGGGGGGAGTGTGGGGGGAGTGTGGGGGGGTGGGGTGAGTGTGGGGGGGTGGGGGAGGGGGTGAGTGTGGGGGGAGTGTGGGGGTGGGGGTGGGGAGGGGGAGTGTGGGGGTGGGGGGGTGGGGGAGGGGGAGTGTGGGGGGTGTGGGGGAGTGTGGGGGGTTGGGGGTGTGGGTGAGTGTGGGGGGGTGTGGGGGGAGTGTGGGGGTGTGGGGTGGGGTGTGGGGGTGAGTGTGGGTGGGGTGTGGGGGGGTGTGTGGAGGTAAGTGTGGGGGGTGGGGGGGGTGAGTGTGGGGGGTGGGGAGTGAGTGTGGGGGGGGGGGAGTGTGGGTGGGGGGAGTGTGGGGGGGGGAGTGTGGGGGGGAGTGGGGGGGAGGGGGGAGTGTGGGGGGGGAGTGGGGGGGAGGGGGGAGTGTGGGGGGGGTGGGGGGGGGAGTGTGGGCGGGGGAGTGGGGGGGGGGAGAGTGGGGGTTTGGGGGGTGGGGGTGTGGTGTGTTTGGTGTGGGGGTGGGGGGGGGGGGGTTTGGGGTGGGGGGGTTTGGGGTGGGGGGGGTTTGGGGGGTGGGGGGTTTGGGGGGTGGGGGGGGGGTTTGGGGGGGGGGGGGGGTTTGGGGGTGGGGGGGTTGGGGAACTGTGTATTTGGTGGGCGAAACATGCCAGCCAATTGTGTACAGCAGTGTCCCACAAACAGTCGTGGATTGAGTGACCACATTTTTTTGGGGTAGGGATTATTGCACCTAGAAAGCAATCTGCCAATTGACTAACTGCTGGGATCCTCCTTACTGCAAGGTAAACCGAGGCGTGTGGAGTTAGGAAACTTGCCCAAGGTTTCACCTCGCCTGGGAATCGAAACCGAGTTCTCTCACTTGCGAGGCGATTGCTCTAACTCCACATGTCAAGGTCTGTCAGGACACTAAACCTGTGTGTGAGTCTCATCTGTGCCTTTACTTTCTTTAAAGCTCTGAATGAAGTTCAGGGATGGAGGAAGAATTGCGGCTCTCGGATGGCAGTGTATCTGCTCCCTCCACGTGCTGGCTCAACCCTCACACCGGATTCTTTGGCACCATTAAGAACTCCCCGAGCGACTTTGTGGTGACGGAGATCAGCTTGTGCGGGTGCATGGTAAGCGATGTTCACTCTGAGAGCTGCAGAGGCGCTGAGGAAACTGACCAAGAGCCCTGTGTGCCATTCCGCAAAAGACTAAAGAAGGCAGAAGAAATTTGGGACAATGTTGGGTCAGTGGAGAGCTCTTCTGGGTGTTTAAGTCTCGGAGGTTCCGAAGGTCTCGAAGACAGTTGCAGTGAGGCTACTGGTTGTAATTCACCAGGTTCTGTCTTTCGGTCAGTGAAACTGGCTCCGGGCAGTGCCTTGGATTCCTTCCTGGACGTGGCTGTGGCTGACTCGCTGGAGAGATTTGCCCGTTTAGTTGAAGCATGGATCACACAGGAGGAGGGAGATGGGGAAGGGACGGTCTTCTCCCTCGGAGTATTTCCTGACAAAAGCCACCGAGCAGACATCCACCGTGCCGTCCGTCAAAAATACCCCTTCCTCAAGACGCTGACGATTGGGGCCGAAATCCTAGTCAAGCCGGACGGGAACTACTCCGGGCTCAGTCGCCTGCTCTCCCGGCGGGAAGCTGGTGACTTTCTCCGCTTCCTGGACTCCAGGGATAAAAATTCCACATTTACCTTCAGCCCAGATGGCAGCAAGGACCACAGGAAAGCCGTCCACCATTTTGTCAGCAAGCGCTTTGGGAAAATGGTGGAAGCAAAAAGCTTTCCAGAGCGCGGAGGCGACGGTGGCCACCAGAGGGCAGCGATTACTGTTCGATTCCGGGAGAGATTTGCTTTCGGTAAGAAACGCAGTGCAGATGATTGTCCGGAGGCACCAGCGACCTACACAGGTACGGACATCCATGGCACCAGTAAAACTCACATAGGTGGTATCAGTCGAGCCCATGACATTTAACATGATTTACGCGAAATCTGAGTTACAGGCAAACTGTGGCAGTAGTAAAAAGTCCGATTCAATCAATAATCTGTACTGCGCATGTGTAATCCAATGCAATCGGTAAGCGCGCATACAGAAATTTGCCATTGCAGCCGGTGAGTGTGCATGTGGTGACGCGTCAAGACTGTGTTTCCTGCGATTCAATGCATTTCGACCTCCCGTCACATGTGCAACTTCCCGGCAAGGGCTGGAATCGCATTGAATCGTGGTAATAGAAGTTCTTCTGCGCATGTGGCGATGCTTCAGGAGGGGAGCGATGTTACAAATTGTGAGGTGATTAATATCACTGTTGCAAAGAAATCCTTCAGTGGTTTTGATAGGAAACTGAATGGGACTTGGGCGAATGTACGATTTAGCAGATTATACAATTTATACGACTTATGTGAGCTTTACTGTATTTCTACTGAGAGTATATTTTCATGCAAGTTATAAACAGGACTGCCAGTAAAGATGGTTGAAACTAGTACACCGGGACCAGATTAAGAAACCAGAAGGGGACGGTTGGGTGGGGATTCTTGAAGGATAAATGCGAGTTGTGGTTGTTTTAATAGCTCTTGTGCATCTCTCCACATAGCCTTCACACTTCGTAAGGAAAACACGGAAACCCTGGACGCTATCGGTATCCTGGCGGCAGAACTTGGTGTCGTGCCATCAGATTTCAGCTATGCCGGCATTAAAGATAAGAAGGCGGTGTCTTTCCAGACTGTGGTGGTGAAGAACGTAACACCCAGGAGGTAAGGGAAGAAGGGAATTTCTCTCTCCCGGTGTCCAGGTCAACAGCCCGCAAAATAAAATCACTCACTCACTCCACAGCTGTTTGGGGGACATTTCTGTGTGCAAATTGACTGCCACGTACACTCACAAAACATGCACTATGTCTATCATCAGAATATATTTGCAGTGAAACCTGTGAAGACCTGAGGTGTCTAGACTACATGGTAAAGCAATGTATCAAATTAAAGGTTATTAGTTCCAAGTTCAAAGTTCAGCTCCACTGGCAGCGACGGATGAGAACGCAGTTTTTGTGCAAAGTTTCATGTCTTTTCAAAGCTTCCGGTGAGCTCGGGGTTTTGCCCTGGTTACTGATCACTCTCTCATTTGGTAAAACATTTAAGACACAGACTTAACATCACTGGAGAATTGGAATCTGCTAAAAGTACTTAAACTATCATCTTCCCTCATAGGTCAGCCTGGCTCAGTGGCAGCCAATTTTCACACAGCAAACAGGCATGAAGTGAGTGACCAATTTTATTACTTGCCAGGATACCAGAAGAAATTCCTTCCTCTTTTTTGAATAGTTGCACAGGATCTTTAAGGTCGACCGGAACAGACCCAGATGGACCTCAGTTTAATGTCCCAACTGAGGACAGCACCTCCGACTATGCAGCGCTTCCCCAGCTTAGCACTGGCGCGTAATCCTGGACTGTGAGCTCAAAGTACCAATGTGGGGCTTGAAACCCCAACCTTTGACTTGGAGGCCAGTGTGCTACCGACTGAGACATTTTACACCTTCGTCCTCCAACCCCGCATCACTCGCCATCTCACTCCCTGCTCGAGATCCTAATCCTCTCTAAAGCCCTTTCAGATAGGTGAAAAGCACTGTGCAAGTCTTTGTGAAAGCCTCATTCTCACTGTACCTGCCTCTCTTTCTGCTCCAAGGTTAGATGTGAAGAAGGCGAGGCTACAGAGCAAAGGTTTGAAGGTGTATAACATCCGCCTGGCCCCTCAGCACCTGCGCCTTGGCCAACTCTGGGGAAACCATTTCAATATTGTGGTGAGAGGTGTCCGCAAGCACCAGGGGGATGATCCTGAGGCAAGTCTCTCTGATCGGGTGCTGGAAGCTATTCACAACGTCAAGGTAAAAACATCCTGCCTCTCCCACCACAATGATAGTAAGAGGGAGATATGTGAAATGTAACTAATGTAACTGGGTAGCTCAGAACAGGAGAGGCTATTTAACCAGATGGAGATCACACCCATCACCAACCATCTTCACAAGATCACATGATTATTTCAGATGAAGAAGACCCTTTGGCCCATCTGATCTCATCCCTCCAAAACACCCAACACACAAAGATTTACAGAGACTAAAAACAAAATACTGCGGATGCTGGAAATCTGAAATAAAAACAGAGGTCGTTGGCAACACGCAGCAGGTCAGGCAGCATCTATGGTGAGAGGAAAATTAGTTAACGCTTCAGGTTATGAAGTTTTATCAGAACCAGTTCTGACCGTGTGAAGATGGGTGATCAAAAGCCTCTCTTATTCCTGAGCTACCCAGTTACATTGGGTACATGTCACGTATCTGTTTTTATTTCAGACTAGCTGTACCTGTTGCAGCTACGCTTGCAACCAGTTTCATTTAATCGTCCTTCTCTCTTTCATCTGGCATTTTTATTTGTCCTTGAAAGCCTTTGCTTATTAGGCAACTTTATCCCTTAAGATTAAAAAAATGTGCTATTGAACTTGTTAGCATCCTTTGTTCACGTATTTGCACACATATCCTTCTGTGAGGACTCCTGTTGGGAGGACTCAGTGGGAGGACTCCTGTGGGAGGACTCCTGGTGGTGTCTCTAAGTCAATCGGTTAGACAGACACACAGACAGACATTTTGTCTATTAGTATAGATGTATCTCTCTAGAAGGGTGTATAACTTCTGTCGCTACTTTGTTGCAGAATACCATGCAAACCTTTTCGGGGCTTAATTAATTTATTAAGTATTTTATTATTTTTTTAATATAGCTCATCAACAATAGGAGATCCCCCAAAAAATATGCCGATGGCACTCCCCCTTGCAAGACCTTTCCAATGAGGTATAAATCATGTCTCTACGTCAATTGTTTTTGCGTTGTTGGTGAACAGACAGACCTGCAGAGAGATATTTTGTCTTTATCAGTATAGGTTTACAGAGAATGTATAGCATGGAAACAAGCTCTCTCCTTATCTAGCTTCCTCTAGAGTGCACCGACACTATCTGATTCAAACACTGCTTCAGGCAGTGAGTTCCATGAAGTAATTCCTCCTAAGTTTTTTTTAGATCCTCCTAGTCACTGTCTTATGTTTGTGTCCCCTGGTTATGGACTTGAAACAGCCTATTTATGTTAACCTTATCGAATCATTTTATAAGTTAAAAAAATTTCTATTAGGGTCTCCTCCTCAAATACCTCTAGCGAAAACAAACCTATCCAGTCTATCCTGATAGCAGTAACCTGCCATCCAAGATATCACCTCGTAAGTCTACGTTGTACTCTTTCAATCACTGCCATATCTTTCTTATAGTGTGGAGACTTGAATTAGGCACAATACTCCAAATGTGGTCCAACCAAGACGTTCGATGAGAAGACATCTCTTCACACAAAGTGTTGAAGTGGAACACATTGCCCAGGAAATCCATAGAGGTGGAATCAATTGGTTAGTTAAAAAGGAGATGGAGAGATATTTGGGAAGTGAGGAAATAAAGACTAGGAAATGGGGACAAAACAATGTGCCTGGATCTAACATGTTGGCAGGACTGAATGTCTCCTGTGCCTTTGGCCCGGCTCGGTTGGTAGCACTCTCCCTTTAGCTCAAGATGTTGTAGTTGCCATCTCTCATAATTCAGCGCTCCACCAGCATTGCATTGAAGTGTCAGCCTAATCTGTGAGCTCAAAGTTCCATAACCTTCCGACTTAGTGGTGAGAGTGCTACCGCCTGATCCAGGCTGACACCAGCAGATCAGAGTTGGAAGAGCGGAAGGTAAACTAATGTCTATAACAATGGTGCCAAATGAATGCATGTAAGGTTTTGAAGACACAAATGTATGTTCTGTTCACCTCCAGGAAAAGGGCTTTGTGAATTTCTATGGACTGCAGCGATTTGGATTGGGGCAGAATGTTCAGGCAGATCAAATTGGTTTGGCTCTACTTAAGGAACATTTGGTAAGTGTACCCCCTTTAGGTGTTATTGGTAGCTCAAAACAATTGAGCACTAAACAATTGCTGTTCTTTTTTCTCTCTGTTAATACATTGTTGTCATTATCTAAGTGCCATATTTCAGGCCTTATATAGGCTTCTGCTGGCATTTTGTATTATTAAGCTTGTTACTTTTTCTCCTTATCATATTATTCATCTCCAACATGGCCGGGTGGCACACCTCTTTACAGATCGACAGTTGTTGTTGTAGTTACTGTATGTTACATCTCAGTGTTTAATGATTGGCATAATCTGTGTTTCAGGATGGGATTAATAGCACAGAGAGGGAAGCAAACCTGACAATGACCCTAAACCGCATATTATAAATTGTTTATTATTATGGACCCCTCTACAGTTCAGTATCAATTATGATAAAAACAAGGATTCTATGCAAAGGCGTTCTATAAAAGATCAATGGCTAATGAGACATCTAGTCATCCGCGGTCATCACCCACCTCCTTAACAATCCTACCCTCGATCTCTCCAATCTCAGGCACTACTGCCCTATCTCAAACCTGCCCTTCCTGGCCAAAGCTTTAGAGCACTTTGTTGCCAACCAACTTCGCGCACACCTTTCCCTCCACATCCTACTCGAACCCCTCCAGTCTGGTTTCTGCCCTGCCCACAGTAGACTGCGCTTGTGAAACTTACAAACGATATCTCTCTATCTGTGACTAGAGCTTCCTCTGCTTCCCAGAACTCTCCGCCGTGTTCGACACAGTCGATCATGCCATCCTCCTCCACTGCCTCCATCATCCTACCTTACTAGCACTACATTTCTGCAAATGGCTTTCCTTCTTGCTTTCACCTGGTCACCTGTGGAAAACTCCAACGATCCATCCCTGGTCTTGTTCTCTTCCTCATCTATATGCTCCCTCTCGGTGATGTCATCCGCAGACACGGGGTTAACTTCCAAATGTATGCAGATGACACTCAACTCTACTTTTCCACCTCCAGCTGCGACCCCCAGGCCCCTGATGTTCTGTCAGCTTGTCTGTCAGACATCAGGAACTGAATGAGCACAAATTTCCTGCACTTAAATGTCAACAAGAAAGAAGCCATACTCTTTGGCTCTCGCCGACGTCTTCTGTCCCACATTTCCAGCTCCTCAACCTCCCAGACCCGTCCTTAAAATTCGCTGAACCCGGGCGCAACTTAGGTCTCAGGTTCAATCCCCAGTTATCTTTCCTCCCCCACATCCGGTCCCAGAGCAGAACCACTTTCTTCCACCTCCGCCACATTGCCCGTTTCCAACAATACCTCACCTGCCAAAACCCTTGTCCATGCCTTTGTCACCTCTTGGCTGGACTATAATGCCCTCCTCGCCGGTCTCCCCTCCACTATTCACAAAATATAGCTTATTCAAAACTCGGCCGCCCGCATTCTCGCCCGCACCAAACTTCAAACCCCTGGCCAAGCTCCACTGGTTCCCTGTCACAGAGCGGATCAACTTAAGATTCTCATTCTAGTCTTTAAATTTCTCCATTCCTTGGCAGCCCCCTATCTCTCTAATCTCCTCTATCTCCACTGCAATACCCGCTGCCTCCGCTCTACTGGGTCTGGCCTCCTTTGTGTCCCCCAAATCCTCTGTTCCACCATTGGCGGCCATGCCTTCAGCCACTATGCCCCAAAACTTTGGAACTCCCTCCCACAACCCCTTCGCGTTGCCCCTCCTTTCCCATCTTCAGGTCACACCTGAAGACCTTACTTTTCGACCGAGCCTAGGGTCACCTTCCCCCTCGCCCTGGCTCGGCCTTGGACGCCACCATTGTTAAGCACTCTGAGATGCCGCCAGGCATGGAGGGCACTGTATAATTGCAAGTTGTTGTTGTAGTACTTTATTGTTTCCTCAGTAATTGTGCTGTATGGTTAGTTTGATTTGGTTTTGTCTGCCTCACCCCGTAATCGTGGCCAGCGCGGTGGCAAACCACACAATTAAGCGATCTGTGACCAAGATGATGGTACACAGTGACCATCCATTCATACCTTCTTTGATGAGCTCATCTGATGTCTTTGCCACAAAGGTAGCTATTCCCATACACACAGATAATACACCTTGATTAGTAATCCTAACTGGCCTCCTCTATACAAGGCAGGTGGTTGGAATCACAAGTAGCATCACAGTTTGCATGATGCTAACTCGTATGAAACATTCAAATCAATTAACCAATATCAATTAGTACACTAATGTCAATAATTCAAATTTAAACCATACATTAAGTGAAACAAGCATTTTAAGTCAGATGTGCTTCCCAAGAAAATTCCATTCTTGTTTTCTTGAGTAGTCTCATTTTCCAAGAATTTAGAATGCCTGGTACCTGTATCTTAAACACAAAGGTATAACACTAAATGTTATACTTCCGCATTGAATTTTAACTTTCTTGATTTCCAACGCTAACCTTTTTAGATACACCACAGTAAATAAGATAACTAAGGCTGTCAGACCACACTCTATCTAGACAAAGCTATTGCTGATCCACTTAAATGGGGAAGTAAGAATTGATTCAATTTCTCCTCAAAATCCATTTCCTAAGTTCCCTCGGGTATATTTCCTGACATTTTCAGGGATCCCCAATTTGAGGAGGCGTCTTTTCTTCTAAACTGAAAATTTGTTAAAATGGTACTCTCATAGCCTGAATTATTTATTTCCTTTTCATCCCTGAATATGAGATTTTAATCTGTCTAACTCTGAGCTGATTCAAACCTGGGTAAATTGGGGAAAACATATATGCTTGGCCGTGGATGGTACCCGTATATTACTTCTACTTTTGAGAGGTTGTATGTACAGTAGAAACGCGTTTTTCGGTTCTCAGTAATCCCAGCCCCCTCACAATTGCGGGCACGTTTTCACAGTCTCTTTCATTGTCAATGTTAATCGATAGGCTATCTGCTTCAGTAAACTAGGCACCTCACTGTTCAGGACAACGGTCATTGATTATGGCTACTACATCACCCTCCTCTGGTACAAACGCCGTACAAACATTTCCCCCACCCAGCTACTAACCTGTACACTAGGTCTCGGGCTTCTCACGCTATTCCCTCGATGTTGTGGGTGGAGTGGGATCCAGTTGCTCATGCTCAGCGTGGGTAGTGTTGGGTTTGCGTAAACAGGAAATCAACTTTGCCCGGCGCCCACGTCCTAATCTGAGCTAATTCTTGGACAGTGCTGTAAACATGCCACAACAGAAGGAGGTGTCCTTATGTGAGAGAGTGGACTTGATCAAGAACAGTGAGGGCAAAAGTCACAGACAGTTTGCTGAGTTAATTCAGTAGTATTTAGTTGAGTTGTATTTTTTTCCCTGTGTTATTTAATTGATTGGTAGTCACTGTATCTTTCTGGATCACTAGTGGGGTTTCTGGTTTGGACATGCCAATTGATTCTACTTGCTGTTCTAAAAATTGAGGGCAATGTGACTGTGATACATTATGAGGAACAGCATCACCACCAGTATTATAACTGGCCACATTGCCAGCTGGGCTTTCTGTTTTTTGGCCAGGTGCTCCACCACTCTCATTATAAAACCAAAGCCCTAATGGGAAGGTGTAGGGTGGGGGGGTTTCTTAAATGGACAAGCAGCGGAGAACTTGCCAGGCAGCGCTCTCAATGGCTGTGGGTTTTCAGCTGGTTAGACTCCAGCAGTTACTCCAATGCACTTATTGGGGTCCCCAAGCCTTGGCTCTTGCCATACAATCTGGGTACATCCCTGTCTGGGGAGAAAGTGGAATTACATTCCAGCCGCAAGGAAATTTCTACGTGTAGGTGGCAACACATATTTGAAACTCGCAGGCTGGTTTGGATACTCTTAAGCATGTCATTCCCAATGGGTTTCTACATGCCACAAAATCACAAAATTAGTTCAGATGAACAAGGCCTTTCAACCCATTGATTCCATCTGTATTTCTATATTTCAATACTTTGTTGGTCAATTTCAGTCAATTAATCAGGGATTAATGCAATGAGGTGTCAGCCTGGCTCAGTCAGTAGCGCTCCCTCCTCTCTGAGTCAGAAGGTTGTGTATTCAAGCCCCACGTTGGGAGTTACCAGCCCAGATTGACACTCCAGGGCAGTGCTGGGGGGAGCACTGCATTGATAAAGGTGCCGTTGTTCGGTTGAGACATTAAACTGAGGTCCCATCTGCCTGTTCAGAGTCTGAGGCACCATTTAAAAAACAGAAGGGAGTTTCTCTTCCCTGTGTCCTGGCCAACAATACATGGATAAAATTGATGATTCACCTCATGGTTGTTTATGGGACACTGCTGTGCGTAAATTAGTTTGGCTACATGTGTGTATATATGTTTATCTGCATACGTGTGTGTGAAAAAATAGTCTCCTAATTTCTCCTTGTCTTTAGTTATGATCTGAAAGATGTGCTCTTGTGAAACTATTCTCATTAGGTCCAGGCTGTCCATTTATTCTTCACACCAGAAGAAGGAAATAATCCTGTCAATAAGGCGAAGAGACATTTTCTCCTAACTGGTGAGTTCCAGCCCCAGGGTTTGTGGGGTTCAGTTCACTCGGTGTCAGAGGCGCCGTTCTTGAAATGAGACTTTAAACCGATGTCCTGTCTGAGCCTGTTCAGGTAGATGTTAAAGCCCCATAGCATTCTTGGAAAAGTGAAGGGAGTTTTTCCAGGTGGCCTGGCCAACAATTCCCCCCAGAAAAATAGCCATTCACTTTATGGGATCACAGCTGTGCAAGAATTAGCTGCCACGTTTGCCTTCAACACACAATCTGCAATTTACAGTGAAATTGTGTGAACTATTTTGAGACAACTGGATGTGATTAATGCGAAGATGATTATTATTTGGACTTGTGCTGCCCAGTCCAGTAATCACTCACTTTTCAATGACCTGCTGTCATCCTCAGGGGATGTCAAAGCGACACTGGCCTTGATGCCGGACTACAAGACCAGAGAGCGGCTGATGCTTCGTGCTTTGAATCGCTATGGCACAGATCAGGAGGGCTGTGCCCAGGCTTGGCTCAGTATTCCACACTCCATGAGGCTCCTTTATATCCACTCCTACTGCAGCAAGGTATGGAACCAGGCAGTGTCTTACCGGGTTAAGACATATGGCTTGAGACCTGTGGAGGGCGACTTGGTGATCGCAGAGAGTGCTGAGGCTTCGTCATCTCAGAACGATCGGGTACGTTTTAAATCGAGAATTGGTCCACGCTATCGCAAACAATGTTCCAACAAGCAACCATTCAAATTCCATGTTGAAATGTGTGTCACTAACACGGATGTCAGCTTTGCTCGGTTGGTAGCAATCTCGCCTCCCAAGTTAGAAGGTTGTGGGTTTGAGCCCCACGTCGAGCACTTTTGAGTTTACAGTCTGAGCTGATGCTCTGGTGCAGTCCTGGGGGAACACTGCATTGTCAGAAGCGCCATCTCTCAGATGAGACAAGAAACTGAGGCCCTCGTCTATTCCTGGTTCAGGTGGCTGTCAAAGATCCTGTTCCACTGTTCGAAAAGAGAAGGGTGTTTCTCTCTCCCGGTACCTTAAGCAACAGTAGTCCCCCCAATACAATTGGTCACTCACTTAATGGCTATTTGTGGAACATTGATGTGTGCATATTCGCTGATGTATTTCCCTACCAAATGCAATCACTACACGTCACAGTGAACCTATGAAGCTCTTTGAGATGTCTCAGGGATGTGATCATGCGCTGTATCAAAAACGAAGATTATTCTTATAATGCAGACTTGGGACAATAACAACAACAACTTGCATTTATATACAACAACCTCAACAAAATTACATCTGTACAGCGCCTTTCACATCAGGAGGACGTCCCAAAGCGCCGGACAGTCAGTGTTTCCGATCCGAGCTGGGGGTCAGCATTGTGGAGGATGGAGAGTAGGGGGCGGAAGCAGGGTGACCAAAGGCACAGTCGAAGAGGAGGGTCTTGAAACGGGTCTTGAAGAAGACAAGAGAGGGAACGAGGCAGAGGGACTGAGGGAATGGGATTCCAAAGTGTGGGGGCAGAGTGGCAGAGAGCAGGTGAACGAGGCGGGTTACATGAAGCAGGCCGGAGTTCGCTGAGCGGAGGGAGCGGGCAGGTTGGTAGGGGCTTAGAAAGTCGCAGAGGTAGGGGGGAGCGAGGACATAGAGTGCTTTGCAGGTGAGAACAAGGATCTTGAACTCTATTCTCTGTATGATGAGAAGCCAGTGGAAGAATCGGGAGGTGTTTTTAGACGGGTGGGTACATTGCCAGTGGACATGGAGAGATTTATAATAATACTTAATAACACTTGTAATTGATATAGCGCCTTATCATGTCTTCGAGACGTCTCAAAGCGCTTCACAGAATATACTGTAAAGTGAATTGACTGTATATTTTGTGGGCGAAACGTGGAGCAGCAGTGTCCCATAAATGGTGGTTATTATTATTATTTTTTGAACCGATTATTCCCCTTCTAGTGGCTAGTGGTGTCAACCTAGAATATGTACGAATAAGCTGAGCATTGCTTTGCATTGCATGAAGGTGACGTGAACTGAGCTGCTTCGTTTCAAGACTATTCATATTCTTTGGCGACACAATGGTATTCACAGCTGCTTCGTGCTGAATTGGGTTGATTTAAAAGGTGATACGATCGGCCATGGTTTCTGAAAACCCAAGTATCACATAACTCCCCAGCCAAGAACAGAATTGTTTTGTAAAAAAAAGACACACATAAAATAATCCTTTGTTATAGTTTGAATTGAGCCTAAAACTCCCAATTTGGGAGCTAAAATAAAAGAGGTAAAAATTCTTAAATTACAGTACTATTATATTTCACAACACTATTATGATATCTGAGAAGGAGAGGTGGGAGGTAAGGAGAGGGGTAGGGATGGGGTCGAGTTTCATGTGGGTTATGGTGATGATGAGAGATTAGGGGGAGACAAGTTTGAAAGTGTGGAGGAAGATAGGATAGGGGCCGGGGTGTGACGGGAAGTGGTTGGAAGGGCAGAGGTAGCTGAGCGAATCCCCTCAACTTTGGTTTTGAGGAAGTCCAGCATCTCCTCGAGGTTGACTTTGGGACGCGTAGAATACAGGCTGGAGTCCCAGGGACGTAGGAATCAGATGAGTGTATGACAACAGAGCGACCTTGTGCTTTAGTTACATTGGTGACTTCCTTCAACAGGTACATGTTGTGACAGCAGAAGATCAGAAGGCAAATCTTTATTCCATTGACCAAGTAAGAATTTTCCTTTAATAATGAGCTCACAGGTTAAGCTGATGCTCCAGTGCAGTGCTGTGCAGGTGGACGTTAAAGATCCCATTGCACTATTAGAAAGGATGGGGTGGGGTTTCCTGGTGTCCTAGCCGACAATCTCCCAGTTAAATCAGTCGCTCACGCCATGGGACATTGTGGTGGACAATAGGCTGCTGCGTTCGCCTACAAAATACTGTCACTATACGTTACAGTAAATCCTGTGAAGCACTTTGTGATGTTCCTCCCAGTGTGATAGGCGCTATATCAAATACAAACGCAGGATACTTAGCTGTGTCAAAGGATCTCCACTGCTCGCATTTTCACCCATGCTAAACTCCACACCCCATCACCCCAATCCTCACCAGTCTCCTCATTCCTAGTGGACTAATTTCAAGTTCCTCACCTACCAATCAATCTATCCCGCGCACCTCCTGATTTCTCTCATCTCCTCCTACCATTACCCCCCACTCTCAGCTAACAAGTGTGAGTTCCCCACCAACTCGGCACTACTTTGGCCGTCGAAATCTTTACACTATGCCCTTAACTTCTGTCCCCTTAACCTTTTGTCTCGCTCCTCTCTACCTCTCTTAAAATCTACCTCAAATCCCATGCCTATGGTCACTGTGCGTCTCCCTTACTTGCCGTCCAATCCCGACCCTGTGCAGCGCTCTGAGATGTTACCCTACTTGATAGGTGCTGTATAAATGCAAATCATTGTCAACTCTGATCATATGTATGAGTCTGCACACAGTATCTGAATTGCTGCCCGTTCATTGCCTTCTTCAATGCAGATTGTTCTTCCAATGCCCGGTAACAGCACCCAATATCCATCCAACCAGCTTGACCAATGGTACCAGGAAACCTTGGCCAGGGATGGACTGAAGACATGCAAGTTTAGACTTCCTGCTCTACATCTGAACATCCCTGGTTGTTATCGTCGGCTGCTCGCCCACCCTCAGCACCTTGCCTGGCAGTGGCTGGGAGACGGAGATGTGGCTCCAGTGAGCAGAGACTGTCATCCTGTCGATGAATGCGGTGCTGTGAGCGACTCGCTCTCCCTGACCTTCAGCCTCAGACCATCGTGCTACGCAACCGAGTGTCTCCGAGAAGTGATGAAGTCCAGCGTGTGATAGGACAGGACCCAATGGTACTTCTATGAGCAGATGGCACAACCCGTCCTGTAGCTCAGTGGTTAGAGCACTCGCTTTGCAAGCGAGAGACCTGAGTTCAATTCCAGGCAGGGCGAAACCTTGGGCAAGTTTCCTTACTCCACACGCCTAATAATAATCCCTCCAAAAAACAAAACAATAATAAATTGGTCATTTTCAATCCACGACTGTCTGTGGGACATTGCTGTGCGCAATTGGCTGCCGCGTTCACCCACAAATATACAGTCAATTCACTTTCAGTGTATTCTATGAAGCGCTTTGGGACCTCCTCCCGACGTGAAAAGCGCTATATCAAATTCAAGGATTATTATACCAGTGGTATGATTGATGACAGGTGATGAGAAAGCAAGACAGACACCCTTCCTGTATTCACTCCCACCCCCAAACAGGCATGACATTTCCCCCGCAGCCCCCCCACATCATGTACTGCATCTCAAGATAAAGCAGGGAAGACTCTTTGCCACCATTTCAACATCATCAGATCAGTCACTCAGATCCACCACCATTGCCGAGGTCAGTGTGACTGTCACTTGTTTGATGCTGTGCCTGTGCCTGAAGCCGTAAAGAGCGATACACCAATTGGGCATCTCCTGGGGTCGAGGACAGACCTGGGGGGGTTCTGGGAGATTGAAATTCACTGTCCTTAGGTTGACTTTTTTGTTGAAGTATCTGGTTACTGCCCCACTCTAGTTAGATTGTTGTTGACTGATCCAGGCTGACACCTACCTAAAAAAGGAAAAGATTGGATAGACACATATCAAGGCAAGAATTGCCACGTAATCACCAAACGTGAGGTGTAAACACTTATTGTTTGATGGCACGACTGTTTGTGAGCAGGGCTTTTAGGAAACAGCTGCAGGTCATTTCAAGTGAATATTGCATCTAAAAACGTTTCAATGACGTGATAAAGCGCTATATCAAATACAAGGATTATTATTATTATCATTATGCCAATGCACAATTTTATTTCCAACTTGGGGCTTGAATCCAGAAGCTCCTGACTAACAGATGAGAGTGAGAACGACTGAGCCAGGCTGACACACTTTGTGGCTCAATCCCCAAATGGGGTCACTCTGACTCTCAGTACCGACTCTTTCCCCCCCCTCAATGCCGCACAATCTGCACTTAGATCACTTCTCTCTAATACACAACCACCTCATCAGGTCAGCATTTCTCAACTCGTTCAATTAATGGACCTGACCCTCTTACCTTCTTCACCCCCGTTGCCCCACTGTCTCCCCCCATTCCCCTATCATTCCTCTCCCCCTCCCCAAAGCTTCATGTAGAACGCCTTGGAGAACAGCACAGTGGTGGGGATGGACACTGATTCCATCTCCAGTCTGCACTGATTGAGCTGCTCTAAGGTCAGCTTGAGGTGGAAACTTGCCTATAAAATCTCTTCCTGCCCAAGCCCCCATTTCGACCTGTTCCCACCTCTTCGCTCACCCGGTTCAGGCCTCCTGAACTTCGTCCCCGCCCCTCCACCATCAGCAACTGTGCTTTTCGCCACAAAGCCCCAAACCTCAGACAGTGGCATGTGGTCTTTGTTCTACTCAAGGTCTCCTCTTTTCTCACTTTAAGGCCCCACCACTTACTCAGGGTGTCTGAACTGCCTAATAATAATTCTTGCATTTGACATAGCATATTAACACGTCATTGAGACATCTCAAACTGCTTCACAGGACTTTAAAGTAAATTGACCGTATATTTTGTAGAAATAAAACATCCAACTGCCCACAGCAGTGTTCCACAAACAGTCGTGGATTGCGTGATCACTTTTTTGCAGGAATTATTGTTTTCGGAAAGCGATTTGCCAATCAATTATCGTTTTCCCTACTTACTCCTAGATAATCAGGGGTGCGTGGAGTAAGAAAATTTGCCTTAGGTTTTGCCCAACCAGGGAATTGAACTTCTCACTTGCGAGGCAAGTGCTCTAAACCACACTGCAGGACTCCACAAGTAGCAGCCAGAAAGCCACACAATAATGACTCTCATTGCATAGATTTCCACTGTCTTCAGCAGCTCAGATCATTCAAAATTGCTGAGAGAGTTAGACTGTAAAATGCAGAGATTTGTTTTGCAGGCGAACGCAGCAGCCAATTTGCAGACAGCAATGTCCCACCAACAGCAGTGACCAATTTTATTTGGGGGATTGTAGGCCAGGATAATCAGAAGTAAAAAAAAGAGCTGGGAAAACTCAGCAGGTCAGGCAGAATCTATGAAGGAAAGTGAGTCAAAGTTTCAGGTCCACGAGCCTTCATCGAAGGTTCTGACGAAGTCATGGACCCAAAACATTGACTCACTTTCCTTTCTCTCTAGATGCTGCTTGACCTGCTGAGTTTTCCCAGCTCTCTGTTTTTGTTTCAGATTTCCAGCATCTGCAGTGTTTTGTATTATCAGAGTTGCCATCCTTCAGGTGAGATGTTAAACTGAGAGCCTCGTCTGTGCCTGTTCAGATGAACGTTTAAGATCCCATGGTACAACTTGAGAAGAGAAGGGAGTCCTGGCCTACAAACCCCAGATAAAATTGGTCATCCACTTCATGGCTGTGCGCAGGTCTGCTGCTCTTCAATGTACTATATGCTGTCAAATAAAAAATGAATCCACTGCATTTCAAAAATTTATTTCAGGAAAATACTGTGTAATTAGAGCTCGATAATAAAAAAAGTTGTAGTAAATAAAGGCGCGGTTTGTTGCTTACATAAGACAGATGTGTGGGTGCGGGAGTATGTGTAAAGAAGAGAGCTGATGCATCTATGATCCTGCAGCTGGAGCCTGATAGTTAATTCCTCTTCATCCTCACAAGGCCCCGAATTCGTCGAACAAGCGCTTCTATGAATCTGTGGCGCGAGCGCACTTTGCAGTATGTTCTCTCGATATCCAGCAATTTTTTTTGCAGCGATTCCCCAAAGCTCGACGCTGCATCGCTCCGCATCTGCCAGGAAACAGAGCGTTATCATATCAGCTTCACACCATCTTTTCATACATCACCAACCCCACCCCCACAAGACGGCAAGCAATAATAATCCTTGCATTTGGTATAGTGCCTTACCACGCCTGAAGGGCATCTCAAAGCACTTCACGGGATTCATTGTGCAATGGAATAATTATTTGATGGCAAACGTAGCAGCAGAATTGCGCACAGCAATGCCCCGAAAACAGCTACAAAGTGAGTGACCAATGATAATTTGGAAGCCAGTACACAGGGAGAGAGAAACTCCTTTGTCTTTGTGAATAGTGACGTGGGAACCTGGGTGAATGTTGTTGTATGGAGATGTGGTCTATCTGGGGAAAACAAATCTGGGGCGATGGCGAGTTTGCTGAGATGGAGGAAAGTCAGTGCTGGTCTTGGGCGTTGGAGCCAGACATCCCACTCAGCAAAGAGGAGTTGAACAAGCGAGCTGTCACCTGGAGGGCACTCCAGAAAACTCAAATGGCAGTGCACAAGTTCAGCACTGACAGTCAAACTCCCTCAAGGTCTCTTGTCCTGGGCTCTGTCACTAAGGTCAAACTGAACCCCCAATGACCAAAATAATGAAAAACTCACAATTTTAAAGGACTTCATCCCTCACACCCTGAATAGGCCAAGTGTTAACACCATGGTTCAATATCTTTTTGAAAACGTAGAGTGGGTCACCCAACAGTTTGGTTGCAAGCATGGAAAGGGGAACAAATGAACTGGCTTGAAGGGAATACCAATTATAGGAATGTTTATCTCTGCAGATAAGCAAATGGGGGAAGAAGTGCGACAAGAGAATAAGATAGTCATATAAAAGACCTCTATGTTGAGCTGGGATTATTCAGCATTGACTGAATGTGGCAGTAGCTGACATTTGCTTCAAGGAAAGGAACTGCTTTACAATCAGTGTCTAATTATTTCCACCAAGTCCCCTTTGTGTGGATAATCAGCTCTGTTTGATGCCTACCTGCTCCAGGTCGTGCTGGCTGACACAACTCAGGTTCCTTGGGTCAGGATTCGAGTCGAGACTGTAGGAATCTGGATTGGAGAAAAATGTTAAGATACAAGTCATTTCTTTCAATATTTATCCAACAGTTGCTGAAGTCCAGGTGAATTGACAAGGCTGAACCAAGTTGGATCACTGCAATCATGCATCCTGTGTTACTGTCACAAACCCCTGCAAGGTGTTGGTGTAGAATAACTTGCGTGCGACAAACTTTTGCTGTTCAAAAGAAAGAAAACCTCTGGAGAATGCTCGGCAGGCACCAGCCTGCTTCATGTCTCCCGTCCTGCCATTGCAGTCAGGCTTTAAGCTTTTCTGCCCCCCTTCTCTGGAAATCCATCCTGGAATCCCTCTGTCTCACCCCCTCCTTCAAGGGCCTTCTCAACACTTTTCACTTTGATCGTGCCTTCAATCACCCTCCCATCCTTTTGATTCCAACCCCTAGCTCGGGTGCAAGCTATTAACTGTCCCAGCGCCTTGGGATGTCCTCCCGACATGAAAGGCACCATATAAATGCAATTTTATTGTTGATGAGGAGGCCTGAGGGAAGTCACCAATGCTCAGCTCACACTCACCCTGCAGCCGTCTGCCTCTGTAGAAGCCACTCAGAACATTCATTGTATCATGAGCGTCCGAAGGGCTGCAGTACAGGAAATAATACTCCAGGTGGCGCCACAGGATAAAGAGGCAGTTTTCCACAATATCTGAGGTGAACATGAGTCAAGGAATTAGATAGGATGTTCAAGTGATAAAATGCCTTGTAGCCAATCCTTCCAGAAGAGAGTGATCATTCGGCCAGCTTACGTGTCCTCAACCAATCTTCATGGTAACCTATTACACCTGTCAATTCACCTCAAAGGAATTATTTCCCCGGGTCAGTCCTCAACCTGCATGGAGGTAACATTCTACAAATTCTTCCTCTGCTTCTCAAGGGCTTGTAATCTAGGAAGCAGACTTGATCATCACATACAAAGAGATACGATCAGAGTTCAAATGGCTGGGGTCTGACGGCCCATGCCCAATGTTAGCTGTGAAGTATGAGGTTCAAAGCAACACCCTCAAACATCAGCTGGATTTTTACTCGATGTGACAGTGGTTTAAAGTGTTGCCCTTTCACACTATATTTAGAAACTTTTCTGCAGGAGATGGTAGAAGAGAAGTCTGGGGCTTTTTGATTCTACCTCTAAGAAGTTGAATGACCAAAAGGGAGGAATCATTTGCTTCAGATCAAATGCTGTTGTACTGAAGGGAGATTGGTTGTGCGATTCAGCACCGAACTCTGACATCCCATCACCCCCATCCTCACTCTGGCTCCCCACCCTCCTGTGAATTCAACTCCTCCCACTTGCTCTGCCATCTCCTACAACCACTCCCTTCGCTCAGCAAGCACCAGCTAATTCCTGTCCCTCACCCCTATCTCCGCCCCACAATGGCAGGCATCCTTTCAGCCATTGTGCCCCTGCTCTCTGGAACTCCATCCTTGACTCTTTCCTTCCCTCATTTGAGGTTTGTCTCAAAATGTACCACCTCTAAGTGTATTTTTGGTTGTATTCCCTCTCACAAACTCTCCTGCCCACCACTCAGCTCTGGAGTCCTGCCTGTCGTCCCAAAGTGAAAGGATCTGTGTAAATCTAAATTATTAAACAGAGGAATCAATATCTGCCACTTCAGTGACAAAGGAGTCCAAGTGTGAGGCCCTTAGCAGGCTAAGGTTTCACCCCAATAACAAGAGTCAATTCCTGGAACAGATGAAGGTCACCTGTCACCACTTAACATGAATTGTCTGTCTTCTCAAAAGATTTCTTAACAAAATAACTAAATAATTTTACTCCTTACATTTGATACAGAGCCTTTCATATCAGGAGGATGTCTCAAAGCGCTTTATAGATATACGGTGCTGGGATTGGGTATTTTGTAGGCAAACGCAACAGCCAATTTCAAAATTAAATATCCACTGGTTTTAAAACCCACACAGAACCCTCAAACCATGCTGCAATTCATATACTCAATTCCACTGAGAGCTAATCAGGTTTGTCAGTTTATACAATCTCCCAGGCGCTGAAGTACAACCAAGGATACAGCAGTAAAGAGACAGCAGCTCGGCTCTGTGGTTTATCTGTTGAACAAGCCGTCGCTTGGCTAGGACCTGTCTCTGCCCGGCTGAAATCTTGTCCACACCACCTTGGAGGTGCGCCTGGCAGAGCTGTGACAAACAAAGTACACAACTTGAACACAACATATGGCAACAATTCTGCACACTATTTGCTTCAAACTCGAGATGAGACAATTTCAGTTGGGAAATAAGCTTTCGATTAGCCGGATCTGTTGACAACCTGCCACATATTTCAGCATCTCCTGAAGAGATGCGCATCACCAGGCTGGGTCACCCTTAACCCAGGCAGAAGAAAGCACCTCTCTCCAGCTGGAAAATAGTTTCAAAATAAACTCAGTGATCCAGTCTGATAAAAAGAACATTTGTCTCCTCACTTGGGCCTACATTTGAATGTAAAATCTAGAATTGGGTCTCTCTTTCTCTCTCTCGCTGTCTGCCAGTTTCTTAGATCATTGCTGTGATACCTTCCGTGTCATTGGCCAAACAGGGAAAAATAAAATGTTTAGAAGGGCCAAACATAGCCCGTGCATAACTGCTGATCGGAATTTATAATAATCATCACCCTTGCATTTGATATTGCACCTCATCACATCACTGAAAGCTCAAAGCACTTTAGCCAATTTGCGCACAGCAATATCTCACAAACAACCATGGAGCGAATGGTTGATTTTATCTGGGAATGACAACTCTGGACATCACCAACATCACATAAAGCAAGAACTCAGGACATGTACTATTCAAATTAAATTTAAGAGCTTCTCGGTTCTTAAATTTAATTTGCACAATTGCCTCTGTTTACCGAGCAGTAAGCAGAAGGAATTTGGTTATTAGTCGATTGGTGGATTGCTTTCCGGGGGGTAATAAACCTTACAAAAAAAAACAATTTGGTCACTTAACCACGACTGTTTGTGAGACACTGCTGTGCTCAATTGGCTACCATGTTTCTACACAGTAATCCACTTTACAAAATATTCTGCGTAGTGCTTTGCGACATCTCAATGACATGATAAGGCACTATAATACAATTACATTTGTATAGCACCTTTTAAGACAGGAGGACGTCCCGAGGCACTAGACAGTCAGGGATTTAGATCCGAGATGGAGGTCGGGGTCGGGGAGGATGGAAGACAGGAAGGGTAGCCGAAGACGAGGGTTTTGATACACGTCTTGAAGGAGGCAAGGGTGGGGAATGAAGTGAAGGGAATGTGGAATGGAGTTCATTGGATCGGGGCAAATAGGCTGAAGGCTCGACTGCCAATGGTGGAGATCGGCCGGGTGGGGGACATGGGCACTATATCAAATTCAAGGATTATTATAATAACAAATTACGATCAGCCGTCTTGTGACAGGCACAGGCTGACGGCTGGTATCTAATGATTCATTAGCATTCAGGGAAGCAGATACCAAGGACTGAAAGTCAGACTTGAGCATTTGCCCATTTCTGGTGTCAGCCCACAGCACTGGTGTCAGACTTTTCCAGTATGGGAGAGAGATCAGTTACATGATGAGTGATGGCTCTGATCTTCAAAGTTACTGTGAAATTGTGGGAGAACGGGGCAGCCCAATTACACACAGCAAGCTCCAAAAAGAAAGAATCATCAATTGAAGATTGACCAGGTCACCTTCTCTTTTCAACTAATGCCACAGGATCTTTAACATCCACCTGAACAGGCGCAGATGGGACTCGGTTAAACATCTCATCCAAAGGACGGCTCCTCTAACAATGCTCCAGCGCTGCACTGGAAAAGCCTACATTGTGAGTTTGAAGTCCTGACATGATGCCAACTGAACCAGCAACACACAATACCATCTTTGACCCGGTCAGCAGGACAGCTCTCCTTTCACACTGTAAGAAAGAGCACAAACCTCTTTTATTTCATCAGGAGGCAAATGCTCCAGGTTCTGGTGCTTGGTCACGTTCTGCTTGTGGCTCTCGTAGCAGCTGAAGAAGTCATTAGCACTTTGTTTCAGGAGGAACAGGATCACCCCAAGGCTCGGCAGCCGCCAGTAAGGAACCATGGGCAACTGTGCTTCTGCAGGGAAAATGGAAACCATTCAGATTAGTAAGGGAAAAAAAACTATGGCCATTATCAAGGGACAATGTGACAGCAACTACAAGAATACATTTGCATGAAAACAATGTTTTTTATTTGCAAAGTTCCTTGCGGGATCTGATGTAAGCTGAATCTGAGGGATCTAAACCTACAGCAGCCCCAGCATTTAAAGTCTGTCATTATCATTGCTCTCAGATCACCAGAAACTGGTTTGGAGGAAAAAGTCATACTCAGGTGTTCGGGAAGACATTCTGAGGTCACAGCACAAGCCTGTTTAGTGGCCAGAAGCAGAGGATTATGCCTAGGATTCTGTCACTAGAGGGTGTGCCATACTATTCTGCATGACAAAGCACACTTCCCCCATGTACTGAGGTTTCAACCTGGCCTAGCAAGGAGCTGTGAACAACAGTGCACGGCAGAGGCAAGCCAACACAGATATAGAGAGAGAAACATCAGAGTAGTGACAGTGAGAAGCTGGAACACATTTCAACGTTACAGATGCAATAAAATTGCAAGCTGTTTCTTTTTATCTAATTTTGCTGTAGGAACACTGTAAATGAACTGATTCCCATGCAGACATTCTAAGACTTATGATTATACAAACTTCATTTTGCTAACTGCTGCATATATTTATCTTTGTTTTGTACAACAGGAAAGGTTAATTTTAAAGCTGATCTAAAACTATTACACTGCAACACCGACAAATTCAAAACCAATGCATTAACTTGTTCAATGCCAACCTCTGGCTAGTACTCTAGAGTTGGGTTAGCACGGTTCGGGAGAAACGGATTCCATTTTAGACACATTTTCACATGTAGGTGGCATGAATATGTGGAAGTCTGGTTTGGATACCCTTAAGCACGGTGGACACAGAACAAAACTCCCATCTCTTTTTGAAAAGTGGGATCTTTGACATCCACCTGAACAGACAGATCAGATTCGGTTAAATGTCTCATCAGACAATACAGCATAAGCACATCCCACTGCTGTATTGGAATGTTAGCCGAGATGTGTGGCTAATTACCATAATCTTCTGCGGTAGAGGCGAGAACTGAGATCGAAAAAGGTGCGCGGGAGTGAATGATATGAATCTCACCTTGTCGAGTTCCTTCTCGAGTTGTCACTTCGGACAGACTCGGAGTGAAGAGACAGATCGTGTGCTGGGAACTCGGGCTGCTCTGCATCAGAAGTGTTTTACAGAACTCCACAACATTTGCACAGATCTGCAACAAAAGTGGCACGCAAAGTTGAATCATCGAAGTGTTCAGCTCAACTAAACTAAAGGTTAACACTGGTTAAAAGAAATTGGTGTAATATTGCTTTCTTCCACCCAAAGGTGGATGGAGCTTCAGCAACAGAAATGCAAGGTAAGTGAAAACTTATTTATAATAATAATAATCCTTGCATTTGATATAGCGCTTTTCACATCTTCTAAATGTCTCAAAGTGCTTCACATAATATATTGTAAAGTGAATTGACTGTATATTTGTGCACAAAATGCGGCAGCCAAATGCGCACAGCAGTGTCCCACAAACAGTCATGGATTGAAATGACCAATTTATTGTTTTTTTTCTTGAAGGATCATTATCAGGTGTGTGGAGTAAGGAAACTGGCCCAAGGTTTCACCCTGCCGGGAATTGAACCCAGGTCTCTCGCTTGCAAAGCGATTGCTCTAGCCACTGAGCTACAGAACTCCAAACGATGAACCATCGTGCAAGGCAACACTGGGGAGTCTTCTTGCTGGTTAAAACATCTACCAAATTGGCTGCTATATTCACCCACAAAATCAGACACTACTTTATAGTGTATCCTGTGAAGTGCTTTGAGATGTCCTCCCGAAGTGAAAGACGCAACACCAAATGTAAAGATTATCACTGATAATTATTATCAGGAGATATGTAGTTTAAAACTGAATTGGGATAAAACTTTCTTATGCCTTCTATATTCCCACAAAATGGATTGATCAGCCACTTAGCTATGGGATGTTGAAGGTTTTACGATTTAACAATGCTCACTTCATTTCGGGGGGTAATAAACCCACCAAAAAAAGAAACAGTTTGCAATTTTATCAAATTGGTCACTCAATCCACAACTGTTTGTGGGATACTGTTGTGTGCAATTGGCTGTTGGGTTTCACCCACAGTCAATTAATTCACTTTAGAGTATTCTGTGAAGCATTTTGAGACATCTCAACGACATAAGGCTCTATATCAAATGCAAGGATTATTATTATTTATCAATGAAACTGTGTAAAGTCTAAATAATCACAGTAACATTGCAATAATCATAAAATAGCCTGACTGTGGAGAATCTTCAGAAATTAAAGCAAATGCTGCGTTTTACTATTACTGTGCTATTGTTGGCAAAGAATTTTCACACTGAAACTGCAGATGGGTAACATTCAGAAAGATGAGTCCTGGGTAAAACACACCTGTTGCATGGCCAGTTCCATCTCGTCCCTCTTGCTCACACCACAGACCTGAGTTCCCTCTTCCTGAGCTTTGACCTGGCGGAACCTATCCGACCCACTGAATCGGCTGAGCAGCCCAAGGCACTGACGCTGAGAGAAAAATCAGACCGCAAAGTCAAAACAAGCTTCTGAGAATGAGTCAGAAATAATTCTAATTACAAAGATAGCTTTACGTCTGATTTTGAAGCATTGCAGTTTGAAAGAGCTGGTGTATAAGGTGACTACAAAGATAAACCTGGTCAACCAGATCTATGCTAACAGATGTAGGTGGCATTCATTGTCACTGAAAGTCAATTGCTCATCAAGATCTCTTATAAATACTCAGTGAATATATGATGACAGGACGTCTCTTTGACCTAATCAATCTATTTTTCATCAACTGACCCACCCATCCCAAGCCATGTGAGCAACTTTATTGTTAAGGTCAAAAGATTTTGCATCCATCAATGAGGCTGGGGTCAAGAAAAAGCAAGTTATATTAAGAATTTTTTTACCTGAAAGCGTCCAATGTGACCTTGTAGTTCCATTATAGTCCCATCGCTGCCTTCGACTTCCAACCCATTTATCACACCTAAAAAAGCAGCAGACAACAGTTAACAGCATCTCTGTGGCAGAAAGATCTGCGGAATAGTACAAACTAGTAAGAACGAGTTTTGATTCTACATTACTATTTATCAGTACAATACATTGTTCACTACTTTAGAGTCTCAAAATTAGCCTGCTTCTGCAGGCCTAGTAATGTATAGCATGGCCATTTGTTCATGAATGTGTGGTAGAAATGGCTAGTGAATTTCACAGGAATAATTGGTATTGTGGAGCAGGTTATTAGAAAGAGTCGCTGCTTGGGTTTGCTTATTAAGTAAACTTGTTAGAAGTTGTCGTATTGTGGAATTCTGTAGCGTATTGGTGAGAACATTTGCCTTGCAAGCAAGAGGATCCGGGTTCGATCCCGGGCAGGGCAGAACCTTGGGCAAGTTTCTTTAATACCTCTGTCTCTGTTTACCTAGCAGCAAGTTGGAACCCGGTTATTAGTCGATTGGCAGGTCGCTTTCCAGGGGTAATAATGATTCACAAAAAATTGGGTCATTCAATCCACGACTGTTTGTGGGACACTGTGTGATTGGCTTCCGCATTTCAACCACAAAATATACAGTTAATTAACTTTACATTATATTCTGCGAAGCACTTTGAAACAGCTCAGCAAAGTGATAAGGCGCTATATCAAATGCAAGGATTATTATTATTACAAGATCTCAGGAGTAGTGTGCATGATTGTTTTTGTGTCAGCCTGGCTCAGTGGCCGTCTCCAAGTCAGAACGTTCTGGATTCAAACCTCATGTTAGAATTAGAATTCATCGTCTACGTTGATACTCCAATTCAGTGCTGGCGAGAAAATTACTTTCAACAGCCACAAGGCCAATCAAGTGGCAAAACATCACTGCTGCCGTCACTCTCCATACAATTTTGAGTTGAAGAAAGATTTGAAACCGATCAAGCACACCAAGACATCAGTTGTGACCAACGTCTGGCCTTTCAAGAAGCAGCATCTCCCCTCTCCCCACCACCCCAAACATTTGCACGAGTCTAGGTAACTCTGTGTTTGATTGGCAATGTCTTCATTTTCTTCTTGATTGAATACTTTTTTTTTTTTGTTTGTGGCATAAATTGCGGAGTCCTGTAGCTCAGTGGTTAGAGCACTCGCTTTGCAAGTGAGAGACCTGAGTTCAATTCCAGACGGGAAGAAACCTTGGGCAAGTTTCCTTACTCCACCCGCCTAATAATAATCCCTCCAAAACAATAATAATTTGGTCACTTCAATCCACAACTGTTTGTGGGACACTGCTGCCGCATTTCGCCCACAAATATACGATCAATTCACTTTACAGCATATTCTGTGAAGCACTTTGTGATGTCGAGAAGACGTGAAAAGCGCTATATCAAATGCAAGGATTATTATAAATCACTATATGAAGGGTGAGACGTTAAACAAGTCTCGCCTGTGCCAGGTGAACGTTAAAGATTCTGTGGCGCTGCTGGAAAAGGCAAATTTCTCCCGGTGTCACAAGGCAAATCAGGTAGCTAATCAGCACTGGGACACTACCCCACGTGAAGGGCGCTATATAAATGCAAGTTGTTGTAATAAGTCGTACTGCTACCGTCATTCTGCACGAAGAAAGATTTGAAGCTCAATTCTCCACTTTAATTTCTCTCCACTTCTCTGCCTTTTGTTTATCAGCTTATAACAGACAGAATCTCTTTGCTCACTCACTCCAGCTCTGCGAGATGACCTTCAACAGAGAAGCTCCTATATTTCATACGAATACCTTCTACAGTGAAATCAACTGGAGTGACAGTTGGTTAGGATTTTAGACCAAGTCTTGTGTGTCCATAGAATATCAGGATTGTATCGATAGTGTACTGTGATGTGCAAAACAAATTGATGCTCATGCTGCAACACAGAATCTCACAAAAAAGCGTTTTGAATATGTGACATTCAATGGTTTGATTTGTTGCTGGTAAAATATGAAACTGCAAACCGAGCAGTCGCTGAAAATCAATAAGTGCAGCACTGCAGCACATATCTACCCAACTCTCTCAAACGATTTAGAACATTCACCAAAAAGTTCCTAACTAAACTGTATTTTGTGGAGTAAGCTCCTGTAAGGTCAAACAGTGAAGGCATTATGTTGTTCTGAAGGTCTCCTTGTCACCCCCTGGCAGCCTTCCAATTCAATGGTCTCTAATATCTATGAGAGAACAAATGGGAGTGGTAGTTTTCCTGTTTGATGCAGTTCCTACCAAAGTTTGCTGTGTTCTGAGAAAATGAATAACAAAACCAAGCTACCAGTTCAAAATCAATGCAGTTTAATCAATGCACTGGAATTTACGGTTGTTAGCTATTATGCAGTGGCCCTTCACAAGACTATTTACACGAGCTGCAACTCTGCATAACATAACGAAAAGCAATTCCAACTTTAACAACAGATAAACTGCATCTCATTATTTGGATGAGACATTAAACTGAGGCTCCATCTATGCCTGTTCAGGTACACATTCAAGATCCCACGACACTATTCAAAATGAAGGAAGTTTCTCTCTCTCGCTGTTTTGATTATTCACCTCACGGCTTTTGCTGAGATCCTCTCACTCGTCTACAAATCCCTTTGTCTTGGTACCTCCCCACCTCTCTGACCTACTTTCTTCCCATTCCACTACGCTGCCTCCGGCTTCCTGCTTGTCCCTCGTTGGCTCCACAACCGGTGGCGGCACTTTCAGTGACTAAGCCTCGAAGCTATGGAACTCTCTCCCCAATCTCTCCATTTTGCTCCCTCCTTTCCCTCTTTTAGATCACGACTGAAGATCTTTCTCTTTGACCGTGCTCAATCACCTCCTACCGACCCTGCTCAGAGTCAGGCTCCATCGTGATTAAGCGCTCCAAAAAGTTACCCTGAATCAAGGACACCATATAAATTTTATAGTTATTGTAGTTGTGAGACACCGCAGTACGCAAAATATCTGCTGCGCTTGCCTACCTTCACTATACTTTATAGAAAGTTTGTAAAATGCTTTGAGATATTGTTAGCACTGTATCAAATGTTGAGTCTGTTCATGCACTCCAATTTAAATGATTCTATAAGTAGACTACTGGAAGTTCACTGCAGGTTACAGAAGTCAATGCCCATTATATTGCTGGGCTGAGTTTTTAAAACCAGGTCAGCAATTTTAAAATGAATGAGCGCATGTATTCTGGGAACGAATAACCATACATTTTACATTTACATACAGGGTAAATCAAAAGTTCTTACTCATAGGCTGGACCAATAGAAAAGTGTGGAAATAATTGCCAAAAATTGTGGGGAGATTTTCCCACACGCACACAGCCGCTCCCACACCGCCTCTCCCACACACACACCGCCTCTCCCCCCAAACACCCCACCTGCCACAACCCACCCTCTCCCTCCCCCCACACCCTCCCCCCAGCCCCCCTCCCCCACATCCCCTCCCCTTCCTGATTCACTCTGTAAAATGTCACATTTGGAGGACATCCCAAAGCTCTTAACAGTCCTGGCTGAAGACCTGAGCTGGGGCTAGGAGCTGAAGATGGGAAAGAAGACTGAAAGTGTGGTCAAAGAGAGAATTAGAGGGGATTCCCAATTTCAATTAGAGATAAGGCAATGTTCTTGGAAATTACATCAGCGTCTTACCTGGCAAGGCTGCTTTGCTTATGATGCTCGTCAGCAATGCCAGCTCCTGAAGTGACCCTACAGTTACCTCTTGGCAGCGAAGAATGGCCTGGATGGTGTCTGCATGAGCAATGAGGAACTGTAGTACCTGAATCAAAGAATGCAGTGTCATTAAGGTAAGAATCAGCCCAGTGATGTGCAAATAGTTTCTAGGAGTTCTATACAGCTAAGTTGCTGCAATACGATGTTGTATTCAAGTATATTTCTGAAGCTATAATAATGAATAAAGCAAACCCTCTATAAATTAAATTAGTAGATTAAGAAAGAAATTTAGAAGAACCCAAATCTAGCTTTAAAATAATAAATATCCAGGAACAAAAGGAAGATTTTTTTGATGTTGGAAACCCATTCATGCGAATGAGTATTCAAACTACACCGGTTACACATATGTATATTATCTACACATGGATATTTCTGTGCCATTGAGAGGGACACACCCTATTTTGGAGAGAAGGGGCAGGTTGATGAGAGCCAAAGTTTGGAGTTCCCACAGTACATTGGGTAATTTCTAGAGTTTAACCAGCTAAAACTACATAGATTGCATTGAGAGTACTGTACAGCCAGTTTCTTACAATCTCTCCATTGCCCTACCTGTTAAGGATTTATCTTGCAGAGTAAAGGAGTGGAATCAGAAGAATCCCTGATCCCAATGATCAATTTGCACCTCCATGTCCAGCTGATGAACCAGGTTCTTCAGATCAAACTTCAGCAGTGTCCTGGAGCACTGGCTCAGAAACCAAACTACCAAGACCACCACAGAGGTAATTGATTTGAAAGATTTTGCTAAGAATGTCATCTTGGAACCAGCTGAGTTCCAAGTAGACTCCGCTACCTTTTATATCAGTCTTATTTACTCCACAATGATGCTTTGGTATAAGATCTTAACTAGTTAGAATGAACTAATTCACCCACTGTCAACAACTAAATTTGTTGCTCCCGGACTCACATTACAATGCTGTTTACAGTCAATGTTGTTCAATGTGAGATGGGTCCTCCCCCCCACATCTCCAAAAGTAATTGGCAAAAAGAAACGTGCAACTCAAAACATCGGCAAGGGAATTTGGAAACAATCCTCGTGCTCAGTGAATTGAAACAAAGAAAGGTATTCAGTTCTCAAAGTTCTAAAAGGACTGAAATCTGAGGAACTCAATCCACTTCCCTCAAAATTGAACCTTGCATCCGGATTTGTATTAAAACAAAATTTTGAACAATAACAATCAGAATCCTTGTATTTAACACCTTTCATATTGGAAGGATACCTCAAAGCACTTCATATGATTTACTACAAGGTGTAGCGACTATATTATTTTAGGTGAGTTCAATTAGGTGAGGCAATTTTGTGTGGATGCTGAGAAATTCCCTTCTCTTTTCAAATAGTGGCATGGGATCTTTAACATCAACCTGGACACACACAGAGTACTCTGCCTTCCCTGCAATGCTCATTGCTGTTGGTTTGCTGCTGCAGTTACCTGTCCGGCGGCCTGCTGGTGCTGACCGGTGCTGGATGTCAGGATGACCTGGCACAGCTGAAGTGCTGGGAGCAGGATCTGGCGGTATCTTTCTGCAGGAGCAGGGATAAATCCTGATGGATCGATGATACCAAACATACTGTGCAAGAAGAAGAAAATGGGTTTGTTTGGAAAACAGATCCAGAACCATACAAAATACCACGAGCTACAGATTATATGAATGCAGTGCCATAATTCCACCTTCTCCAACACACCAACATCAATGATATTTTCCAATATGTAGTTGGATCAGCTGAAGAAAGGGTTTGGTATTTGTAGAATGCATTTCTACATCCTAAGGCTCCATGTGAAGGCTCCATTTCATGGATTTTCAGTCAAAGCCACAAATGCATCAACAGTGAAGCCAAGCGAAAGAACACCACTTTATATGAAATTGATGTAATGTTTTAAAAAAAATAACTTCCCTGCAGGTAACCATTTACTGAAGGACCTGCTTGTGAAACCAAGCCATGAACAATTGAACATTGAGGGATGCTACGACTTTCAGAGCACAGTACAAAGCATTTCTTCCCTGCTGTCGAAGATGAGGTGAGCTGCAGACTTATTCATTGTTCAAAGTGTTAAAATTACTGGAGCTGCAAAAAAGCAGCCTGGTCCATGATTTTCCCTCCCTCAGGAATGGAAGACAACCAAACTTCCTATCTTGCCATTGAGAGATTGAGTCACGCCACTGCTCAAATAAATTGCTCGGTATTTTCAGTATTTTCAGAACCATATGGGATTTCAGACACCTTCCTGGCAAAGGCACTTAATGGAGGGTGGATGAAACAACAACAAGATTCCATTTATTGAGCGTCGGGAGGACGTCCCAAGAGTTAGGCAACCCAGCAGAGGAGGAGGGGAATGAAATAACAAACATTCCATAGGATAAAGATAAAGTACACACATCTTGCCGTCAGTCTCAACATTTGTCCAGTACACCCTCCTTTTGCCAATAAAGACCATATGCAGACCACTATAAAATATGTTGCAATAAATCTTGTAGCTTTTCTCACCTATGTGAGTCGGTTTCAGGCCGGTGATCATAGACCTGACATTGGGCCAAACGCACAATTACCCCTGCGGTCAGCAGCTCAAGAGCTCCCTGCTGATTTTTAGCCACCCTCGTGAGAAAGGCCTGGAAGACAGAAAAAATCAAAATGTTAAAATAAAGAAATGAGAACCTAAACTCCCAAAAGATTTTAGATGAAAAGACCTCAAACATCAGCAGCTAACACTCTGAAGGAATGTGAACTTTGTTCAGGACAAGCCTTTCATGCAGAGTTTCTATTTTACGTGCAAGCCTCAGAAGGATGAAAGAGCCAAAAGCATAATGTTGTTTTTGCAATACAGTTTTTAAACATCCCAGCGAATATCACACCCACAACTCACAAAGCTGCAGACTTGATCGTTGTTCAAAGTATTCAAATTAAGCCAGAAATTTTAATTCAAAAATATAATTTCAAACAATACTCTGGATTCTGACAAAGCAGCAGATAAAAACATTTCCCTAAATAAAATATTTGTCAACCAACATGCTTTGCCCTTGATTCTCCAGTATACTCGGAAACCACCAGAATGCAATTAAACTGAAGATCAGACAGATGGGGCGACAAAACAAAATTCCCATTTGCTTCAAATTTCTGAATCTTCTGTTTGAACTCAAGTATTTTCTCCCGATACATTCCAATTTTTCACAGGAAGCAATTTACTCAACATCTAGGTAGGAATCTCCACTGGAGGCAACACTTCCTGACAGAATGCAGGTCACTGACAAAATATGTTCATCGACAGAGATCCAGCTGACGCCGTTGGCTATAAAAAGATACCATTTCACTGCATCTTCTTAATAAGCAGCTATATATATATATATATATATATATAGATATATGCTGCGTAGAGTTTTGAGATGTCTCAACATGATAATCAAATGCAAGGATTATTATTATTATTATCTATTTTTAGCAATTAACCAAAGATAGATCCAAAAATTCTTCAAGAACATTGATAGGATTCATAGGATTGAAACTTCAATCAATGAAGCAGCTTGCCTGGACTCCATTATAATCATCAGCCCAGAAGATTCAATTTTACACAATATTGAAGATTGAATATTTTACCAGTGCCTGCTTTCTCAACTAAAAATAATAATCCTTGCTTTTGAAACAGTGCCTTATTATCCCATTGAGATGTTCCAAATCACTTACTTACTGTTCCAAAGTAAGATTTTATTGTGAAGTTTAGCAAATGTGCCCTTTGAGGCAAATGACAGCGCTTTGGGACATCCTCCCGACGTGAAAGGCGCTCTATAAATGTAATTTTGTTGTTGAATGTGGCAGCCAGTATATGCACAGCAATGTCCTCCAACAGTGACAAATTGAATGACCAATTCCATCCTAAGAATTGCTGGCCAGGATACTGGCAGAAACTTCTTTCTCTTTCTGAGTCATGCAAAGTGAATAGGCAGACGAGTTTAACGCCTCATTGGAAGATCGACATCTCCAATGAAACAGCGCTCTCCTGAAGTGCATTGCAGTGTCAGCCTGTCTAAAAGCACACTAGCTACAAAACTCTCTCTAAAAAAAAAAGTGCAATGCTTCACAGATCTTGGATTGCCCCATGGGCTTCAGCACAAAGCTCACATAACAAAATAGAAAGAAAAAAATGGTTCCAGCTTGTTGAAAAACTGTGTGAAAGGGTGATTTCAGTTTATCTGACATTATCTGGGTGTGGGAAGTAGGAAGCAGACAGAACAAATATGCTGAAGCAATGTTGACATCTGACCTGGATGTTGACAAACAAACTTACCATTTTGGATTCATAAATGTACAAGGCTTTCAGTAATGGAGGCTGGGGACTCAGCATACTCTGGAGAGTGACGTCATCCTGGGCCAAGCTGTCAGCCACTGCTTTCAGGTAGCCGCTATTGGTGAGGTAGCACAGCCATTGATGGTGCTGGTCGATAGCCACGATGCGATCCAGGACTGCCAATGCCAGCATCTGAAATAAGCAGTTACAAAAAACATCACAGGTTAGAATCCAAACACCCATCAAATTCGCCTGTCCCCACTCAGAGCTAATTCTGGCAGATTTGCAACAAGACAAGATTGAGCACATTGATATTCTGAGACACATTTTTTGAGGGGTCAGTGGGGGTAAGAAAGGGAAAAGTGAATATGCTGGCATCGACAGTAGTGCAACAAGGACCATTGTGGAAATGGAAGTTGTCCCATGTCCCACATCTCCCCCAACCCCATTCTGAATTTCACCCCCTATGAATGTCCAAATAGCTAGGTGCCTCCCAGTATCTTGGTTCATCCCATACAAACTGAAACTCTTCATATATGAATCTACATAATAATTCTGGTCAAAACAAAACTGTAAGAGTTAAACTGCAAGAGCCAACTGTGGGAAGCAATTGGCTGCCCCGTTTAGCCCACAAATGTACAGTCAATTTACAATAGTCAGCCTCTTAGAACAGAGTTGAGGAAACATTTCTTCACTCAGAGGGTAGTGAACTTATGGAATTCACTACCCCAGAAGGCTGTAGATGCTCAGTCCTTGAACATTTTCAAGGCTGAGACTGATAGATTCTTGAAAAATAGAGGGATTAGGAGATATGGGGATAGGGCAGGTAATCAGAGTTAGGTGAGAAGATCAGCCATGATCTTATTGAATGGCGGAGCAGGCACGAAGGGCCGAATGGCTACTCCTGATTCTTATGTAATTCTGTGAAGTGCTTTGAGACGTCTAGAAGATGTGGAAAGGGCTATATCAAATGCAAGGATTATTATTATTATTCACTCTACATTCATACAGAAGGAAGATTATCTCCTGAAGGACATTGGGAGCAGAAACCACACTGATTTCTCCTCCTATCCTTCAAGACAAGCTTATCCCCCTACAAGCAGTTAACAATTTAAGAAGAAATCGAGCAAAAAATTCAATTCTTGGATTGAAAATGAGTTCAGCTCCAATTCTGAACATTACTTGCTGCGCACATACCCTTCCTATTTCATGCCCATCACAAGCATCTCGACACACAACTTCCATTAGCGATGCCCCATAACTCTCAATGATTGCCATGTTCTCCCTCTGGAGCTTGCTGCACTCGTCTTCGGGAGCCGTTAGCCGTTCCCACATGGTTTTTTGACCTGAAACAGAAAGATTAAACAAGAAATATGTAGATTTAAACATATGGATTATCTTCCACATTCCTGCGTTCTTTCCCTACACCACACTCTCGTACCTGTTTCCAAGGTATCCGGCTCATCTGGTTTCTGGCTGATCTGCAAGTAATATAGCAGGGCTCCATACAGGTGTGCTCTAACACGCTGGAATCCCCCACCTGATGAGAAAATCAGTTGAAGGAAGTATCAAATATCAAGAGAGTTTCTCCTGGCTAACAACACCCATGCCCCCCCCATAAAATTACTCATTCACTTCAAGGTTGTTTTGGGGACACTGTTGTGTGCAAATTGGCTGCCACATTCACCTACAAATAGTTATCACACCATACACTGAAATCTTATGAAGCACTTTGAGGCTCCTCAACAGCATGATAGGGTGCGATATCGAATGCAGTTATCATACTGTCAGCTCCAAATATGACATTACTTCGACAAAACTTGTAAAAATAAATTTTCCCGAAAAGGCAAGCTTCCAAACACAACTTTAGTACAGTAAATTGACGTTTTATTCTGAACGGCCTAAACACTTCAACTTTTCACTGGACAGGAAGGATACAATCTTTTTCTCCTTGCAAAATTGGATATCTTGATGAAAGTCAGAGAAAAATTAAAGTAAAGGAAAAATAGCCTGGAAGCTACTTAGAAATTGAAACAATCGTGAATCACCTTAACCAAAAAGTAAAGTACAGTCAATTCACCTTACAGTATATTCTGTGAAGCGCTATGAGATGTCTGGACGACATGATAAGACTATATCAAATGCAAGGATTATTATTATCTCAAATCAGCACTTACACACTGCCTAAGTGAAAAGTTTGAGTCACTATAACATTTATTGCTGTAGCTCAGTGGTTAGGCGTTTGCCTCGCAAGCGAGAGACCTGGGTTCAATTCCCAGCAAGGTGAAATGTTGGTCACGTTTCCTTACTCCACACCTCTGTTTACCTAGCAGTAAGTACGAACCCAGTTATTAGTAGATTGGCGAATCACATTTCCGGGAGTAATAATTCCTTCAAAAAAATAATAAATTGGTCACTTCAATCCATAACTAGTTGTGGGTCATTGCTGTGCGCAATTGGCTGCCACGTTTCGCCCACAAAATATACAGTAAATTCACATGACAGTATATTCTCTGAAGCGCTTTAAGACATCTGAAAGACATGATAAGTTGCTATATCAAATGCAAGGATTATTATTTAGTGTCTAGGGTCAAGCATTCAAATGGTGTAAATGTTCATTTGCAAAAATGTGGCAAAAATCAGGAACTGCAGCACTTAACTTCAATCTCCAGTGTTTCCATCTGGATTTTTCTATAGGTCATATACTGCAGGAAATTTATCATTCAGCCCCACCGACGCCCCAAAGAATGAGGTAAACAGCAATCTCAAAGAGATCTTAAAGGCAATGACCATATCTCGTTTAATTGGTGGATAGATTGTTTTCACGGAACTCCTCCATTGGTTTGGTCCGCTATGTGTGGTTAACTGAGTATCTGATGCACTTACAGGGTGACCAAAATGTCTATTATCCCAAAAAATCATAATTTCTTATTAAGACATTGTAATAATATCACAACTTTTTGGTAACCATGTAAAACTATGCATTACCAAGCATATCCAAACCAGACATACACATGTGGTCAGCTACACATGGAAATTTCCGTCTCTGGAATGGAATGCACACTCTCTCCCTGGATGGAAGAACCTGTTTACCAGAATTTGACGCAGTTTGGCAAGAATCAAGGCTTGGGAACTCCATAGTGTGCATTGCGGTAACTGGAGTTTAACCAGCTAAAACCACAAAGCTTACTATTGAGAGCAGTCTTGCAAGCTTTCTTCTGTTTGTCCAGTGAGAACCACCTACCCATTTTGCCTTCAGCTTGTGGAGGGGGAAACTACACGCTGAGCGTGAAGAATCCTTCTGATGAGCCAGACCGGCTGGTGTGTCACTGGCAGTGCCCTGGAATACTGCAGACCCACCTAGCTCAGAAAGTAAATGACTGAGTGAACTAATTTTCAACTCTCAATTACCTCACACAGCTCACCAGTTATGACTCACCAGTTCGAAGAATGAAATCCAGCAGCTTCTTCAGGATGATGTGCAGAGAAGAGTCTCCAATGGAAGCGAAGCCAGCTGAGGTGCTCTCTGCGGTTGTGGAATTACCATCTAACATTGAGATGTATTGCGAGTGAGCAGAGAGTGCTATTTTTTGTTCATTGCGTACAGCCTGGGTGAGGTGAGCTGTAAGGGTGAACACGGTCCCAGCAACGACTGACATAAGCTCATGGGCAGCTTCCTCATCCAGAATCTGAGGGCAACAGAGATACAGATCAGCAGCAATATCAAGCTACGAATACTACAGAAATGAAGAAAGATGCGTTTTTGACTAATTACACTCAAAAATTAGATTCCGTTCTTTTCACTCAACAGTTTGTTCCCATCCCTACAAAGAAATACACTGCTTTAACTTTTGCCCTGCTGTGTTTCCTTCCATCATTTGGCAGCATTCACGTCATTGCAAATAAGTGGCTTTTGTGAATGCAAATAAATACAGGATTCATTCATGCCACTTGGAACCATGCATTATTTTTTGCTCCATCACCTTTGCAATCTTAACCCAGCATCAACTGGCCCCAAGAAAGTGGAGGGAGAAATTGGCAAAAAAAAATGGTCGTCAGAAGGTTGTACATTCAAGTCCCACATCAGGAACTTAAGAGCTCACGGACTCGGCTGAGATGGCAGTGCAGTTCTGGGGGAGCTCTGCATTGTCGGAAGTTGAGACGTTAAACCGAGGTTCTGTCTATACCTGTTCAAAGGAATGTTGAAGTGCTTGTGGCGTTATTTGAAAAAAAGCGTAAATTTCTCCCTATTGACTTGGCCAACCTGGTGATCAGTTAACTTGGTCATCCACCTCCAGGCTGTTTGTAGCACAAACATGCAGGCGTACAAAATATTTTTGATCACCTTGTCATGGAGGTCATGCAGAAGGTCCCGGATAATAATTTGTCTATCCTCTCCCTGAATCAGGTCCTGGGGACAAGCCGCCAGTATGATCTCCACCAGCTGCCGCCATGACTCCAAGGTGTGACGCTTGGCGTGAAGACACTCCCGTAACTTGTTTCTCTGCACCACGTGCTGTAGTATCGTGTTGATCTCCTGCACAAGATTAACAACCAGAAAAATCACTGGATATCTAATATCGAAACAGCTGCTTTCCCAAAGCACAAACGGATAAAGAGGTTTTGGATATGATTCACGTCAATATGACATTTTCACTTACTTCAAAATATGCAGTCACTACACTTGACTGAACATGACGTAAAATGCACTGTATAACATAAATTTGTATATTTCACATCAGGAGGACATCTCAAAGCGCTCTAAAAAGCAGGATGGGTATCCGGGCAAGGGGTGGGTGCCGAGGGGAAAGATGAGTGAAAGATCAGAGGGAAACATTTCGGCACTCTATCAAATGTAAGGATTATTATTTGGACTATTGGAAGGCCTTCGATACTGCACACTTTCCAAAGTTAAATAGCCAACCTGGTTCGGTCTTCATTTAAATTAAAGAATAATCATAATGCTTGCATTTGATAGAGTCTTATCACGTTGTTAAGACGTCCCAAACGCTTTACAGGATTTACTGTAAATTGCTATGACTATGTGTATTTTGTGGGTGAACTGAAGTACCCTTTACTCACCATTCTTGAAAAGATGGCAATATTATTTACATTTGATGTCCTACAAAATATATGCATTCTAACTCATCATTCAAGATCCAGGTATTTTTAGGCTGCAGTTAAAACAACTGTCCTGCACTTCGCGGAAAGTGGGTCAGTTGCTGATTGCTGAAGAAGCGATGATCCACTTTGCTGGTCTTTAAGTTTATTTTTCAAGAAGGGAAAAAAAAAACCCAGGTTGTACTGAACCTTACAATGCAGAAAAAAAATCACAGGAGGACAATGAGTGAATATAACCTAACAATCTGGCAATCATACACATGCTAGCAACCTCACCTCCATCAGCAAGGGTCTTTGTCCGAGAGCCGCCATGCCCTGCAAGGCATTTATTTCTGCAATCAGCACTCGGTGAAGGAGCTGAAAGGTACACATTACTTATTAAAAAACAGCAGCAGTTTAGTAGAGGTATTTGAACAATGTTTAGTGAACATTTACTATGGGGGGAATGGGAGTTCCCTCACTGAAAATATAATTTTCCTTGTAATTTTATGTCTCGAAATAATGCAGCGTTAACAATGGGCAGGTGGGTGAGATTTCTCCACCCTGCAAATGGAGGTGACTGAGTCAGAGAATACAAAATGTATCTCACTCACTGAAAGGCTGGGAACAAATCTTACAAGATTATTTTATTAAAAGACTTGCTTTGGGGTGATGGTGTTCCCTCCCATTGCTCACTTTGAAGGCAATTAAGGGGAGAGGAGCGCGCCAGTGGGTTATATTGTGAAACAAATGTTCTATGTGAACATTGTATTCCAAGTAAGATCACTCATTATCAGATCAGTGAAAAACATGAAAAAGTACAAAGTGAAGAGGTGCATATTTTCAAATAGACAGCAATTTACAGTATGATGTATATTGACATAGCGCCTTTCATGTCAGGAGAACGTGTCACACTGCTGACCGGGCTTCCGAGCTAGGGGATGGGAAAGTTCAAAATGGTACTTTAGAAGATGCTGCTGAAACTCTCCCCTCAGACTAGGTACCTTCACATTGCAGACAATCTGGCCCTGCTGATTCTTGTGCTCACATTTACAGATGACCTGTTCAATCTGGGCACGGTCGAAGAAATCCAGATGAAGTTCTTCAGGACCCTCTTGGCAAAAGTCGATCGAGTCCAAAACACTGAGGATCTTTCGACGCACTAATTAAGAAGTAAAATTAACAACAACAAGATTCCATTTATAGAGCGCCTTTCACGTCGGGAGGACGTCCCAAGGCGCTGTACAGTTGGGTCAGGACCCGAGCAGAGGAGAAATGGTCAAGGGGAGGGAAGGGAGGGAGCGAGGAGGGGGTAGAGAGTTGAGAGGGGAGCTGAAGGCACGGTCGAAGAGAAAGGTCTTGAGACCGGCCTTGAAGGAGGAAAGGGAGGAAGCAAGGCAAAGGCACTGGGGGATAGAGTTCCAGAGCCTAGGGGCTTAGAGGCTGAAGGCCCGGCCACTGATGGTAGGGCGGTTGGAGTGGGGGATGTGGAGCAGACCGGAGCCAGAGGAACGGAGGGTACGGGCAGCTAAGTAGGGGGATAGTAGGTCAGAGAGGTAGGAGGGAGCAACGCCGTGAATGGCCTTGTAGGTGAGGATGAGGATCTTGAATTCGATCCTCTGGGGGATGGAGACCCAGTGCAGGCGAGCGAGGGTGGGAGTGATGTGGTCACGAAGCCTGGTGCGGGACAGTACACGAGCTGCAGAGTTCTGAATGACCTGCAGCTTGTGGAGGGAGGTGCCGGGAAGGCCGGCGAGGAGAGAGTTCCCATAGTCCAGCCTTGAGGTGATAAAGGTGTGGACCAGAGTTTCAGCAGCGTGAGGGGTGAGGTAGTGCCGTAGTCTGGCGATGTTCCGGAGGTGATGGAAGGCGGTGCCAGTTGTGGCGCGGATATGAGGGAGAAAGGACAGCTCAGGGTCGAACAGAACACCGAGGTTCCTGACTGGCTTTGAGAGGTGGAGAGTGCAGCCTTGGATGCTGATGCTGTCAGAGCCAGGGGTACGGAGGCGCTGACTCGAGCCAATCAAGAGGGCCTCAGTTTTACGCACGTAGAGCTGAAGAAAGTTGTTAACACCCTGAAGCATTGATGCAGGTTAAGATCATGTTAAACTTATTGAACCCAATTAATACATTACATAAATGTCATGAAAACAGAGTCTTTTAGACCACTGAACCACAAATCTGGGCAACACATAAAACTGCAAATTTGGAACATTATGGGCTGAAAGAACCTGAGAGCTGTGTGTTTTCAAGCCTCACCTTTGGAGATGGTGTCAAAATGCAGAAATCCACTGACACATCTTGTTTCTTCATCCAGACTTCCTTCGGTATCAACTAATGAATGAAAGGAAGCATAACAACATAAACCAGAAGATCAATTAGGCTTTAATGACACCCCCAGGATATTATCCACTATGACAAGTGACATCACTGAAGTGGAAGACTCCAAATAAAATCATGTACAGCATTCAGTCTGTTATACATTTACAAGACCTCACTTTCCACATCAGCACTTTCCACATCAACAGTCAAAGCTCTTGAATACAACCAGAATGCAACTTTGTGTTGAGTCAGCCTAATATAAGATGAGTCGGTATTATTCTGCAGCCACACATTGCAGGTATACAGTAAAAGAATCTTGCAGGAATCATTTGAGACAAGGTGGTTCAACCTTTTGGGTGCCGAGGACCGGTTGCCCTATTTGAAAAATGTCCACGGGCTGCATAAGAAAAAATTTTGTATTTCCCTTCTAGAAACCTAACATTTAGCCAGTGCTTTTTTCACTCCTGGCTGGGCACCTGCGCTAGAGGTGGGAGCCAAATGGGAGGGAAAAAGATGACTGAAAGTGCAGTCATAGAGTTAGGTCTCTGTACTCTGTTTTTTCCCTCTGCCTCATGCTCTCTCTCACACACGCACTTACTCGCAAACTCTCTCTCCCTCTCACACACAGTCTCTCACCACATACTATATGTTTAAGTTGTTAAAGCAGGCAAGCTGCTCATATAAAACCATAACTGAATATAACCTATTTTTGTTTTAATAATATTCGCATTTGATACAGCGCCTTATCACATCTTCGACATCTCAAAGCGCTTCACAGAATATACTGTAAAGTGAATTGAGTGCATATTTTGTGGGCAAAATATGGCAGCCAATTGAGCGCAGCAGCGTCCCACAAATAGTCGTGGATTGACTGACCAAATTATTTTTATTTATTTTGAAGGAATTATTACCTCCGGAAAAGCGATGCGCCAATCGGTTAACAACCGGATTCCTACTTACTGCTAAGTAAACAGAAGCGTTTGGAGTAAGGAAACTTGCCCAATGTTTCGCCTTGCTGGGAATCAAACCCAGGTTCTCTATTTTGCAAGACAAATGCTCTAACCTCTAGGCTACAGGACTCCAATTTTGTGCCAGATGCTTTGATAAGCTCAGGCGAATATGGGTTTTAATGTAATAACATAGTAAATTTATGGGATTTCCAAGTATAGATGTCAATTATTGCATATCTCTTTCAATTTACATATTGAAAAAACAAGCTGTTTTAATCTTACCAATTCCCAGGACAATTCTCCAGATTCAATTGTACACTGCACTTTTTGGTGTGTGAGGAAAGGGAGTCAGAAACTTTCTGCATTGAAAACATAATTATAACGCTTGCATTTCATATAGCCCCTTATCAACTCATTGGGACTTCTCAAAACACTCTACAAAATATAATGTAAAGTAAATTGATTGTATTTTTGTGTGAAACAAGGTAGTCGGTTGTGCACAACAATGTCCTGCAAACAGCCATGGAATGAGTGAGTGACCAATTTTATTGGGGATTTGTGGGCCAGGACACTCAGAAAAATTCCCTCCTCTTTTGGAATAGTGCCATGGTATCTCTAACGTCCACCTGAAAGAGGCAGACGGGACCTTGGTTTAACGTCTCACCCAAAGGAATGCACCTCCAACAATGCAACACACCCACCCCAGCAGTGCATTGGAGTGTCAGCTGAGACTATATTCCAAGTCCTGACATCGAACTTAAACCCACAAGCTTCTGACTCAGAGGCGAGACTGCTACCATTAAGCCAGACTGACACATACAATAAAATGGAAAACTGCACCGACAGGACATAGACAATTACCAGCAAAGGATCGGAGAGGCACATCGTCGAGGATTAGATGGAGAAGACGTTGTGTGTGAGAACGCTGGCGATTCAGGGAGGTGACACGCAATTCAATACCAGCAGTCTTCATCAGCCACGACATCTGGCTTAGTGCTGAGATTTCATGGCCTACAACAGAAATTGTAATTATCTACGACCTATACAGAAACACGCAATATATTTTGATGACTCTTCATTGCTACGAGTCATAATATAAGAAAATCTTCAGATCTGCTGTGATCACTAATTTACAATGAAATCTTCAATCTTAATTGTAAAACTGTGTCTCAGCTCCACTTTTACCTTTAACAATGAAGGGCAGATGCTGGAGCTGAGAGAAGAGAAAATCCTGGCTTGTTCTCAGATATCGCATGGTTGGCCCTGAAGTCTCAGAGTACGCACACAACTGATAAATCACCTGGGGGAAAGAGAAAGAAATAAATTGGTCAGCGTCAAAAAGATAATCAATATTTCTTGCAATTGCACCATTTGAAGTACTGACTGAAGACATGGCTCTCCATGACAACATTTAAACCTTTTGTTATGTTAATAGGTCATCCTGGCTAGATTGGTAGCACCCTCGCCTCAGAGTTAGAATACTGCTCCAAGCCACATTGACACTTCGAACTCGCATCAGCTGTCTAAGCTAACACTCCAATGCAATGCTGGGGTGGGCGCGCTACATTGTTGGGAGGCACCGTGCTTCAGAGATGTTAAATTGAGGCCACATAAGGGGGGTAGGGTAAAGGAGCTCCTCCTATTCCCCTCATCTATACCCCTCTATTCTCCTTTAGGTATGCCTCAAGTTTCTTAAATACATGTATGTTATTTACTTCACAACAAATTTACATGCATTTAGCCTCTTTCACTTTGGGAGGAAGTCTGAAGGTACTCGACAGTCCAGGGTTTGCACCCAACCTGGGGTGGGAGTGATGACTGAAGGGGTGGTCAAAGAGTAAAGTATTGTGGGCTTTGAAGCAGGCCAGGGAAGGGGTGAGTCGTAGTGACTCCAAGATGGAGTCTTGGAGAACAGGGGCAGACAGGCACATGAAACAAGCTGCTGACTGCTGAATGGAGGGAGAGGCCAGGTTTGAACCGTTTGAGAAAGTCGTAGAGGTCGGGATTGGGCCAAAGGTCACAGAGGGATTAAAGTTAGGCCGAGATCTTGATCTGCTGAGGGATGAGCAATATTAATCAATATTTGTACTTTTACATTCTCGTTTTTATTGAAATTGAGGCATGACATAGCTCGATGTGTTCAAAACAACAGTGCACTTCAGCAGCACTTTATTTGATGCATGTGGTCACAAAGGGTGACTTTCTTTTCTGGGTGTTTTCTGGAAAGAGCAATTGATCGCCAGATTACGGCACTACCTCACCCCTCACGCTGCTGAAACCCTGGTTCACGCCTTTGTCACCTCAAGGCTGGACTATGGGAACTCTCTCCTCGCCGGCCTTCCCGCCACCTCCCTCCACAAGCTGCAGGTCATTCAGAACTCTGCAGCTCGTGTACTGTCCCGCACCAGGCTTCGGGACCACATCACTCCCACCCTCGCTCGCCTCCACTGGCTCCCCATCCCCCAGAGGATTGATTTCAAGATCCTCATCCTCACCTACAAGGCCATTCACGGCCTTGCTCCCTCCTACCTCTCCAACCTACTATCCCCTACCTACCTGCCCGTACCCTCCGTTCCTCTGGCTCCGGTCTGCTCCACGTCCCCCGCCCCAACCGCCCTACTATCGGTGGTCGGGCCTTCAGCCTCTCAGCCCCGAGGCTCTGGAACTCCATCCCCCAGTGCCTTCGCCTTGCTTCCTCCCTTTCCTCCTTCAAGGCCGGTCTCAAAACCTTTCTCTTTGACCGTGCCTTCAGCTCCCCTCTCGACTCTCTTCCTCCTCCTCGCTCCCTCCCTTCCCTCCCCTCACCCTGACCATTTCCCCCTCCTCTCTCCCTCCCTTCCCTCCCCTCACCCTGACCATTTCCCCCCTGCTCGGGTCATGACCCAACTGTGCAGCGCCTTGGGACGTCCTCCTGACGTGAAAGGCGCTCTATAAATGGAATCTTGTTGTTGTTGTTGTTGTTGTTGATTCCTACCTGATAGCAAAGTTCAGCTAAATGTGGTGACTCCTTGACAGCCAGAGGACCATTCCTCCCTTCAGTCCCTTTCTCAAGAATGTTCAAAATAGAGTGAAGGCAGGTTCGTGGACAACCGAGAACCCCTAAATTAGCAAGAAGACAAGGAAGGAAGGAAGGAAGGATTAGAAATCCATTTACAATTATTACCCTTCAAAAGTTTTCTTTGTTTGGAGGCAAATCTCATGACCATCTCATTAATGAAATGCAAATTGCGATTGAAAGGTAAAACAAGATGAAGAGAAAGGCAATGCTTCGGTCGTTCAGGGAAGATGAACAAATGCATTCCCTTCCATCTCTCTCCACCCTCCCGAATTCATCTTCCAAATAATGCCTTCCTGTGCATTGGCCTTCCACCACATCTAAATATTCCCTTTCCCAGAAACCATTTTTTCAAATTTCCACAACGAACGTCACACTTATTTAAAATCCATTTTAACCAGTGCAACTCAATATCATTTGTAGGACGTGTGAGTTATCAGTGGGGTAATAGTGCCTCATTCTAAGCGTCAAACAAATTTTGCAACGAGTACATCCCATCCTCAAGAATATCACCCTGGCCGGAAAAAAAATGCCCAATACAGAATCTTACAGCATAGAAGGCGGCCATTTGGTCCATCATGCCTGTGCCAGCTCTTTGAAAGAACTATCCAAAAAGTCGCATTTCCCACTCTTTTCCCATAACCCAGCAAATTTTTCCTTTTCAAATATATACACAGCAAACAGCCTTATCACAGCATTGAGATGTCTCAAAGCACCCACAGAATATATTTCTAAAGTGTATATTTTGTGGGCGAAACATGTCAGCCAATTGCACACAGCAGTGTCCCACAAACAGTTGTGGAATGAGTGAGCAAAAACATTTTTTGGGTAAGGGAGGGCTTATTATCACTGGAAAGCGATATACCAATCGACTAACACCAGGTTCCACTTACTGCTAGGTAAACAGAAGTGTATGGAGTAAGGAAACATGCCTAAGGTTTCATCCTGCCTGGGAATTGAACCCCGCTCCTCTCACTTTAACCACTTCTCTACGGAACTTCGTAATAAGTTCATGGCAGGCTATCCTTCATGTTCCGTCCACAGATCGACACAAGTAGGAAACCTTTGCTTAACAGATGAAGGCACAAGGAGTGAAGTGAGAAGGTACCTGGATCCTGCAGATTGGTGGCACTGACTGGCTTTCTCAGTTCGTAGCCCAACAAGTAGAGGGCAAGGTTGGGAGGCTTCAGCTCCAGTGAGGTAATGAGCAAATTCAAGATGTGGATTCTCGTGTGATGCCTGATCAAGGAACGTTTCTTTTCTAAATCAGTGTCTGTGACAAAGGAACAACATGAGCTGGAGTTGGGAGGGAGGATGAGAACAAACAGACAAACAAATTGGTCCAATCATAACATGGCCAATATTTAAGCGTTGGGTTAACATTAAAAAGATTATGTGGTGGCAACTTTGCAGAGTTTTGCTGCAAGCTTCCCCACTGTAAGAGAAAGAATACTCATTAATTTAATTTCCAGTTTTATAGATCACAATATCAAGCAACAAAATCTCATGGATGAAAGGAATGATTGAGAACCTTCACCAACACTGACCGTCATGAAGTTGTACCAGTTCCTCAGCGTCCTCGCTGTCAAGGCACTCAACAAAACCAGCCATCAACTTCTGACTGATAGCCTGCACAAAAGTCAAGAAAAGATCAGTGTCAGAGGCATGCATGATTCATACTCTTTTACAGGTTAATAATCCTTGTCAACCAAGGATAATTTGCTCCATAGTTGACTGCCTCATGATCATGTCAGAAGGTAAAATGAAACAAATGATTCTTGCAATTGATAGGAGCACATTATCACATCATCAACAATCTAAAGGTGCTTCACAGGATTTACTATAAAGTGCAGCAAAAGTATATTTGTAGGTAAACGCAGCACCAATTTGTGTATAGCAATAAACAACAACAAATTGCATTTATACAGTACAATGAAGTGCCATGAAGTGAATGATTAATATTTATTTAGGTGATTGTCGCCGAGGACATTGGAAGAAACCGCCTTCTCTTTTCGAATCCTGCCATGGGATCTTTAACGTCCACCTGAGTATGCAGATCAGATCTCAGTTTTATGTTTCAACCAAAGGACGACTTCTCCGATAATCAAGCACTCCCCCAGCACTTTATGGAAGCAACAGCCTAGGCAATGTGAGCACAAAGCCAAATGTGGACCTTGAACCCACAGCCTTTTGACTGAGAGGCGAGACTGCTATCAACTGAGCTAGGCTGAGATTACAATTCAGCTGCAGAAAGGGAATATGAGGAACAAGAGAAACCTGTGAAGCACAGTGATCGATATCAGATTCGCAGTTTTATAGGGTTAGCGACTGGACGACAACTCACCTGGTCTTGGGTGAAGTCTCCCACCAGTTTTCCTTGGGAATTAGGATAGTGCGATATACAGCAGAGAATTTCTGCACTTTCAAAAGCCAGCTCAGGGTTGCTGGTTCCATGGCATAGATAGCTGTGCGGTAGGGGAGAAAGTATAAGAATTTGTACAACATGGAATCTTGAAAACCTTTAGTGCAGAATTTATAAAGATGGGAATGAAACAGTTTATTTTTTATTATTATGAAGCCCAAGGAGGTGTCAGCCTGCCATATTAAATGATTTATTTTAACAAAATCTGGCAGGATGGATGAAACAAATTAAGAATTATGATGGGGATTGGAACAGAAATGGATCACTCGCAGGGCAGAGGTACCATGGTGCAGATAATGAAATTCATCTTCAGTGTTATTATCCAAACAGTTTTCAGAATAACTAGCGTGAAGAGGAATTTCGTGAAATGTTGCCCTCAATGAAGGATCCATAAGCAACGGTCTGAAAATCACCTGGTTTCACCAAAATGCACACCACAGAATGCAAAACTAGTTTGTTGGCCAGCAAACTTAGGGGCACGTACACACTTTATGCTTCATAGGACACACACAGCCATGAGACGCAGAGGCCCTGTCCTCATCGGTGTTGAACAAATAAGACTGACCTGCAGTTAAGTGCTTAACATTAGAACTTAAAAAAAACTCATACAATGCAACAGATGTTAAATGAACGTGCTTAGATCTCAGCTCTACTAACACATTTGGTGGCTGAAAATATATGAATAAGTTAGAAGCAGATTAATTGCTCGTGGATTTGTATTTAAAGTGGGAAGAAGTAAGGGATTAAGTTGCACAGAATCCATCAATTTAGCATTCAACAAGAAGAATTTTTGTGAATTAGCCCAAACAAGGCATGTCGCGACAGCCGTCTTACCGAGCAATATTAACTACGTGATCAGCCTTCTTGCTGCGTGGGTTGATGCCCTGAAGCAGTTGTTCCAAGGGAGTCACTATGACAGAAGAGTGGCTCTCTCTCAGCCAGTCCATGAAGAGATTCTCCTTCTGCAAGGTCAGGTTGAGCAGTGCTAAAGAATATTCAACTGCTTTCTCCAAATGCTTTTTACCTGAAACATCAATGAAACACGTCAGTGACCAATAAGATCCCTCATTGCAAGTTATACAGCAACGAGCTTTGGATAATATTGCACGTTTTTCCTCATCCTTCTGCATTCTCCGTTCTTATTTCCAAGCCTTTAACGGGCGGAATAACTCCAATCATTAGGAAATCCGCTCCGTCAACCAAAGGGCACCGTTGAAATTGCGCAAAACTAAGTTCAAGGAGATGACAATATTCTTCAGAAGTTCATTCAGGGCAGTGAAAATTCATCCACAATGAGGCAAGATCACTGCAGCTCCTACACTAAGTGGCTAATGATGAGAAAGTAACAAACAGCCATGAGGTGAACTGCAAATGGATCTGGAAGAATGCTGGCCATGACAATGGGAGAATCCCCCTTCTCTCTCTGAATCAGGTCCTGAGATTTGTGAAGGGATAGCATTTTCTGTGATTTTGTTTATTCTATGCTTTGAAGATTGCAGTTCGTCATAACTTGCAGCTGCTGCTTGAAGACACATGACCACTGACTATGATCGACTGATCACTGACTATGGGGTTAGCACGTGGCTGAGTTTTGTAAATTCGCGGGTCTAAACTGTGAGTTGAAAAGGCATCTCCAGAAAAAGTATAGGGACCCATTGTTAACGCCTCTTTGGAAGCGAAGCCAAAAAGAAACTGGTCAGCTTTGCATCCACAACAATAACTATTGCTGGATTTAAGTTCCCAATCTTGAGAAACGCAGTTGCTTCGCAATATAAACTATGAATCGGATTTTCTTATAAAGTAATACTTTGAGTAAATCTGGGCACTCTGCAGTCTATAGTAAATGTACCACATTCGACAGGACTGAAATTATTACTTTGAAAAATATCACTCAATTCTCTGTGGTTCATGTGTCTGCAAATATCTTGGCTCAAAATTGAATTGGAGTTGGGTAAAACTCCAAGAACAGCAGTTACAACAATGCAGCACATTGGAGATTGTTAGTTCAAAGTTCCAATGTGGGACTAGGACCTATAATCTTCTGACCCAGAGGTAAGTGCTGCCAACTCAGTTGAACTTACATCCAACTTTTCTGCTTATAAAAATTTTCAGATTATAGAGCTTTTCAGTCCAATAGGTTTCCCTTTTAAACAGCACTAAATACCAATATTCAGTCTGACATACTTCAGTGGAAATATTCAATGAGTGAAACGATTGCAGTTCCACTGCTTACAGATTTACGATCATGAGACTTGTTTGCACTTGGTAGTCCACTAATTTACCCGCATTCGCAACACAAGAAGATCCAACAAACAGCAAGCAGCCACAACAGAGTTGTGGCACCGCATCCATACTGCACCCTGCCCAACTACTATGCTCACAAATATACAGTCAATTCACTTTACAGTCTGTTCTGTGAAGCGCTTTGAGACTTGAAAAGCGCTATATCAAATGCAAGGATTATTATTATTATGTGGATTCCATGCTAGGTACCTGGGAATGGTGCGTAGGTGTCCAGCAATTTGACACCCTCTTCCAGAAGGCTCAGACAAAGACACAGCATGGGGGAGTCATTCAGCAAGTGAAACATCAGGTTATAGCCAGGAGACTTGTAGGCAGTAACCAGCTCTCCTAGGTCACAAATGTGGAGGAATGAGAGATGGTATTGAATCTTAACAGTGACGAATATTGTTTTAAATATAAACTTGTTTTAAAATGTTTGTTTGAACAAAATGAAAACTTTCAACTCAGTACGATTCTCTTATCGCTCAACATAACTTCCATTGGTTAAGCAATGCACTCACTGTCCAGGGTCCTGACTTTAGCTAAAATGCTCTTATTTTAAATGACTAACAAAAACACCTGTTTTAACTTATACATCACAGCAATAACTGCATATATTCCATTATTGTCAATGTTTTAAATGTGACAAAAAACACTTTATAACAGCAAAAACAATTTACATTAATAAAGCACTTTTCATGACAGTGGAAGGCATCTGAAAGTATGGCTGAAGAGATACGGCTTAGGCGGATTATTTTAGTGGGATGGAAGGGAAACAAAGGAGGGATTCCAAGATGGTCTTCCAGAGAGCAGAGGCAGAACAGTTGAAAGCTCATTTGCCAAAGGGAGGATGGAGCAAGAGGGGAGAAGTGAAGCGGGTCAGTGTTTGCTCAGCAGAGGGAATGCAATGTAAGTGGGGTCGCAGGAGGAATTTGAAAGCAAGGATGAGAATTTTTAATTCTTTTGTGTTCTGGTGGAAGTCATTAAATGGGTCAACACAGAGTCTCCAATTGTTGGATAAACAATTATCGTGCATTTGCAGACATTTGCTAGAAAGTTCATGTGTATAAATGACAGATGAGGAGAGGATGCAATTCTGGTTTATAAATCAGATCAACTGCTGAACTGTCTGGAATCAATCAATTACCTTGCAATTCCACCATGTGGTCTGTGAAGTCATCAGGCTGGGGTTCATAATCTCGCAGGAGTTTGTGGAAAACCTCAAGCACAACTTCGGCTACCTCCCACTGCAACCAGAGAACATGCATTCAAGATCAGATCTGCTAAATGCAGCCACGGTGCAGAACAACAAATTACATTTGTAAAGCGCCTTTCACATCGAAAGGACAACCACAACTCACACTTATATAGCACCCTCCACGCAGGGTAACGTCTCAAGAGCGCTTAACAGTGGTGGGGCCTGACTCCAAGCCGGGGGGCGGGGGGAGGTGACCATAAGCACAGTCGAAAAGGAAGGTTTTCAGGCAGGCTTGAAAAAGGAGGGGGCAAGACTGAGGGAGAGTGTTCCAGTTTCGGGGTGCAGTGGCTGAAAATACAACCTCCAATGGTGGAGTGGAAGGTGCGAAGGACAAGCAGAGGCCTGTGCCAGTCGAGTGGAGGCACCAGCTGCTGGATTGGGGAGTGAGGTGGTCGCAGAGATAGGGAGGTGCCATGAGTGAAGGGATTTGAACACGAGTGGCGGGGAGGATCTTGAAGTTAATCTGTTCGGTGGCGGGGAGCCTGGCCAGAAGCGATGAGACGTGGGCTCGGAGTTTGGTTCGGGTAAGTATGCAGCAGAAGAGGTCTGAATGAGCTGGATTTTTTTTGAATAGTGGAGCAGGGGAGACCGGCAGGAGTGCATTTGAGTAATCCAGACGGGAGGTGATGTCCCAAAGTGCAGGGAGATTAGGTAGAACGGAATTGTAGGATGACATAACAGAGCAATGACAGGCTCTAACCTTTTCTGCAGCTCTTCTATATGCTCTGGTAGGGAAGCGTAGAAAGACAGAATCCCTCAGAAAGTTCAGGTAAGGATCGAATCCTGGTGGACGGAGCCCTGCTCCAAGGTTGGTGGGGAAAGAACTCTCCACCAGTGTGCTCAACAGGTGGCAAAATGCCCTTGTGAGAACATACTCCTCACTCCGGGATTCAATTTCATTCAATTCCACCTTAAACAAAGCAAAAAGACGTCACTGGTTGTTCACAAATGTAAATGAAACTCACAATACTGGGCTTTACATAAAAATGTATCGCACAAAAAATGCAATCGTGCATTCCCATCACACTTTTTGCATCGCTGGCAACAGTAAGGAAAGGGAATCTGCTTTACTGTGTTTCACAAAATAACAATAGCTTTTTTCTCCTCTATTCTTATGATGTCCCTATAGCAGAATAATTGCATGCATTATAAAATATGAAATGAAAATATATGGATCATACCGTACAAAGAAATGACAAAGACAACCGAAAGTATTGTTTGTGGAGCAAGAATAGCGGTTGGGAACAGTGTCGTGGGAAAGTGTATTGAGAAATGCAATGGGACAAGAGGAAATTAAGAAACCAAGAGCAGAGACATTTTTGCATATCGGCTCGGTGGTTTGCCTCTGAGAGAAGGCTGTGGGTTATATTATTGTAATCAGGTTTGTAAAATATTTAACTTTAGGGCATTCAAGCTTAAGTTTTAAAAAGCTGCAGATACCTGAAGGGAGGACTGGGGGAATACAAGTTACAGTTTTCAAAATGGCCCATTACCATGTTTCAGAGTGCCATGGCACTGTTGTACATCTTCCTAAAACCAGATTTGCTAAGCAATATCTATTCTTGGAAATTTGGTACAGCCATTACCACGCCACTGAGACATCTCAAAGCACCATCACAGGTTGTAAAGTGGTATAACTGTGTGTCTTTTGAGTGCGAACATGGCAACCAATTTGCGTACAGCAATATCCCACAAACAATCATGCAGTGATTGACCAATATAAAATGGTTGCATAAAAGTTTGATTCACGAATGCAAGGGGAAAAGTAACCTCAAACATTTATTTATTATTAATCTGCATCACTATGGATGTTAATGCTCTCAGCTAAGTAGTCACAAATTAAAAGGGGTCTCAACTCTTGTAAGGTAGAAGCTAATCAGTACTAGGCTTTTCAAAATCCTTCCCCGGAACATGTTTTATTGTCAGGTTCGGGTATTCTCTAAATAACCCTGGAGAAAAGATACTGAAATCTCAGATGCTCTCCATTTGTTAACAGTGAGCACAATCCCAGGGGATACCAACTGTCACAAATCAATTTATTTTATGTACATCATCTGTCACCTAATGTTACAGTAATTGGTTAGTACAGTACGAATCATCTGTTTAATATAATTAAACAGATTAGACAACTCATGTCATTGAACTCTCAACTTCTAAGTTTCAGCACAAGTGATGTAATCTAACTTTCATTCAGCGGGCCAGATTTCAAAGTGGCCTACCTCAATCCCAGTATCTTGTCTCTGGCCTGGAACTCTGACCGTCTGCAATATCTGAAAGATGAAGACAAAACACCAATAAGGCATTCTGTTTTGGTGGTGAAATAAAGAGAAATGGACAGCAAATTATGGCATGTACCAGCAATGCAGTGACAAAGCAAAGGGAATTTGTGAAGTGTTAAGCCGAGAATGCTGTGCGATTTTTCACAGGTTTTTGTAAAGTGTATTGATTGTATATTTTGTAGACAAACACCACGGCCAATTTGCTCACAGCAATGTCCCACAAAAGAGACATGAAGTAAATGTCCAGTTTTATCTGGAGACTTTTGGCCAGGAAACCGGAAGAAACTCCTTCACTTTTACCTCTACTGAACGGACAGATGCGAACTTGGTTTAAAGTCTCAATCAAAGGATGGAACCTCCGACAATGCAGCACAACTCCAGAACTGTATTATAGTTCCGTATGTGGGACTTGAACCCACAACCGCCAAACTTACAAGAGTGCTACCAACTCATCTGAGCTGACACCTGATGGTTCAGTTGTAGTCCTTTGAGTCCCGCTAAGTACTGGATATTTTCATCAGACTGTCAGGTGAAGACAAGTTATGAATGAAATGACAGGAGTATAGATGCGGATTAGATGACAGAAGATACCTGTGTATACTCCAGGGACTGCCAAAGGGAGGCAGCGATCTCTGGCGATTTACTGAATGCCGCCAAAGTCTTCAGTATCTCAGCTTTTAGCATAGGAGGGATGCTGCACTGGATTAAGCCCAACATAACAACAACAGGTGTCCACTGGGGATGCTCACACAGAGCTAGGCGGGCATTTTCACTCTGCAAGAAATTCATTTGGTTAGCAACAGAGAAAAGAACAGCATTAAGCATTGACTTCTGTCAACAACAACAAATTACATTTGTATAATGCCTTTCACGTCAGGAGGATGTCCCAAGGCGCTGGCCAGTCCTGCACCCGAGCTGGTGGTTGGGATCAGGAGGATGGAGGGTAGGGTTAGGATGGTGACCGAATGCATGGTCGAAGAGGAATGAGAAACAGGTCTTGAAAGAGGCAAGGGAGAGGATGAGGCAGAGAGACTGTGGGATGGAGTGGGATGCGAAGGCAGAGAGGTTGGATGGCTACCTGCCAATTGTGGAGCGGCCAAGGCGGTGGATGTGAAGCAGGCTGAAGCCTGCTGAGCGGGGGAAGCGGATAAGTTGGGTTAGGAGGTCACAGAGGTAGAGAGGAGCAGGACCTGAAGTGCTTTGAACAACAACAAGATTACATTTGTATAGCTCCTTTCACGTCGGGAAAACGTCCCAAGGTGCTGGACAGCGTACAGCATTTCAGACCCGAGCTGGGATCGGGGTGCGGGAGGGAGAAGGGAGGGGAGGTGGCCAATGGCATGGTCGAAGAGGAGGATCTTGAGGCGGGACTTGAAGGAGGCTAAGGAAGGGGCGAGGCGGAGCGACTGGGGAATGGAATTCCAGAGGTTGGGGGCAGAATGGCTGAAGGCTCTTCTGCCAATGGTGGGCGGGTGGGTCAGGAGACGTGGAGCAGGCTGGAGCCAGTTGAGCGGAGGAAACAGGCAGTTTGGTAGTGGGTTAGGAGATCGCAGAGGTAGGGTGGGGCGAGGCTATGGAGGGCTTTGTAGGTGAAGATCAGGATCTTGAACTGGATCCTCTGAAGGATATGGGGTCACTGAGTTTGGTGCGGGAGAGGACACTGGCTACAGAGTTCAGGATTATCTGCAGCTTGTGGAGGGAGGAGTTGGGAAGACTAGAATCGTAAACTGTATCCTGAGTGATGAGGAGCCAATGGAATTAGCAGAGGATGGGGGTGATAGGGTTACTTGTTGAATAAAATAAGCTTGTTGAATTTATTATTTTGAGGGATGGTTGCATGACCAACCAGATGTTTGGCAATCAAATGTTAGGAAAGATAAACACGTTTGAGCACAAGGAACAAAAGACACCTCTTCCAACAACATGCAGTGGAAAAAGGGAATTGGACCAATAATTGCTCAAAGTTTCTCTTTCATCTTTGTTCAAGTATAAATGAAAGCCAACTGCGCATAGCAATGTCCCACGAACAAGTGAATACCCAATTTTATTTGGGGGAAACTGTTAACCAGGAAAAACTCCCTTCTCTTCAAACAGTGCCATCCATCTTAACAGCCAGACACGACCTTGGTTTTAATGTCTCATCTGATCTCATCAGCAGAAACTCAAAGTCCCAATGTGAGGCTTGAAGCCACAATCATGCGACTCAAATGTGAGAGTGCTACTGAGACAAAAGAGATTTAATTTGCTAAAACTTTCTTAGGATTGCAGAAGTGACAAATGTGTTCCTTATTACCCATTTGACGATGGTGCCTGAAAGCTGCAGGAAAGCGATGAGACCATCCATCTCTCGTTGTGTTATGCCTCGCAAAGGCAAGTGTCGATAATGTACAGAATCTGTGCTGGGCATGTCTCTCCTTAAATGCTCGTGGTACATCATCAGGGAATGGAAGAAATGTTCCCAGGACACCGGGTTGCCTCCAACCACTTGGATGTTCTCTACTACAAAATGAAACAGCACAAGAAAAAAACATTTTACTAAGCTTACACAATTTTTTTTTTAAAACTACAAAATAAAACTGCATTTGCCTGCTCTTTCCACATCTCCGAGAAATTCATCGTCTGGAACAATTTTCATATGTCACTTTTTCATTTTCCAGTTATGCTGCAAACAGATGGAATGAGTTCCTCACTCAACTAATAACATTCATGTGAATAAAGCTTACCGTGACTGCTTCCATTCACTTTGAGCAGGCTGAAGCAGTAATGTGCACACTGTGGTCCATTGGCCAGTCCACGCAGCATCTTTAGATAGGGTAAGTACAGGGACGGAGGCAGCATATCTCCCATCTGTCTCACAAACTTAGAAAGAACAACCTAAAAGGAAAGAGGAAGGACAAGGTTTACAACATTCCAGTTCATTAAGGATACTGTTGGAAAGCCAAACCACCTAAAACCATATGAGATTTTCAACCCTACAATAGAATGGTACAGGAAATCTCTTCACCCCCGGTCTCTCTTGACCTTACTCCTCTGCTCGTCCCCTCCATAGGGCTAACGCAAACTGCTGCATGTTCCCTGTGTAACATCACTTTCTAAATCCACCCCCTAACGTCTCCAACTCTAGTGGCTAAGCCCTGGATGAAAGCCAATCTCTTCAACTGCACCTATGATCACCTCTTTTTCCACAGACAGGAACATGCAGGAAATCTGTCAACAATGGATGCTCGGATTGTCCCCTCTGTGCATGGTGGTGGACACCAGATGTAGGCTAAATATGCATTTCTTGTGCGAGTGAAAAATCCTTATGAATGTGTAAATGTGCACGTTCCAAATTGTGAACGAACAGCCAGCCTGTTTCATTTTACCACAAACAGGTAAAGATCGGTAGAAACATTAACCTACAATGAATCACAGTTTTGCTCATTTTTGGGAGACAACCTGTCCTTCCCACTCCCGCTTTACCCGACTTAATGTCACATGCACGCGCTTTTACTTGTTTCAATCACTTGAACTGTGTACCTCGAAACAAATGTGATCATGGTCCTTGCTGCATGAAATGCCTCGTTCTCATTGCAGACTTACCTGCCGCTGTGGTGGCCTCTGGTGTGCCACACCAAGGAATGAGCCCATCATGGTTGAGGTTTGCATGGGTTCTGATGGGCACCAGTACTCAAGGGCAAGTTCCAGGTTAAAAGGATCCTTCCTGTACAACTCTCCAATCTACCAAAACAGTAAACAGGTTTCATTTCAATCAGCATTCTTAAAATAACACAAATGGCTTCACATACTTGCAAAAGCACAACTCAGATAATTTATCATCTTAATGCTCCAGGATTTTATTTAATATTTATGTTTGGTTTTGATAGCAAAACTTATTTTCTGCAAATACCAGGAGTGGGGAAGCTTAGCTATGAGGACAGGCTGGAAAAGTTAGGACTTTTCCCATTAGAGCAGAGAAGGTTACGCGGGGACCTGATAGAGGTCTTGCAAGATCATGAAAGGTTTCGACAGGCTAGATAAGGAAAAGCTGTTTCCGCTGGTAGGTGTGTGTGTCTTAAGATATCTACCAAAAGAAGCAGAGGGGAGGTTAGAAGAAATGTTTTCACTCAGCGAGTTGTTAGAATTTGGAATGATCTGCCCGAAAGGGTAGTGAAGTCTGATTCGATAACAGCTTTTAAGAGAGAACTGGGTAGGTATCTGGAGAAGACATGTTTGCAGAGTTATGGGGAGAAAGCTGGTGAGTGGGGTTAATAAAAGTCAGTTGCTCTGTCAAAGAGCCGGCACAGACTCGAGGGGCCGAATGGCCTCCTTCTGTGCCGTAACATTCTATGATAAAGAGATTAAAATGCATAGCCAAGCTAATTTTCTCTTCGTGTTAACTGTTGATGTATTTTAAAAGTAAAGCAAATAAAAATATTCTTCCAAATGAACCAAAATTCTCCAATAAAACAATATTTTAAGCAATAATTTATCATAAAACATTATTACTTCTTAAAATGAAGTAACTTTTTCTCCTTCCTTCACATTTTGTGACTGGCAACTCAAGCTGTATCTATTGTGCTGGCAACCCTCCAGTCCCTGTCATAACTGGCTGTTCTTCAGGCACAACTCTGGACGTTGGCAGGATTTTTGACTGTGAAGGACGACACAGCCAAGGCTCACCTGACATCCACACAATTTCACTTCCTGGCTGTCTGCCTAAAAAATAGTGATCGAACTTTACTATATATCCTGTGAAGTGCTTGGAGACGCTCTTCCGATATGAAAGGCACAATATCAAATTCAAGGATTATCACTTTTATTATCCAGTAAGGATTAGTGCATTGCAATAACAGAACCCCTGATTGATTTGACTCCTCTGATGCTAATTGTAGTTGCCCTACTATCAGCCTGGCTGGATGGATTAATTAAACACTGCTGAGCAAAACAAACCTACAACAACTCCACTGACCCACAGACACATTTTTCCCCTCAAGTAACTAAAGCATCTTAATGTTCCATTCCTACCGCAAGTTGTTTACGATTATTTTACAATACGTTTTACTTTCAAAGGCTTGGACTGAAAATCATTAAATATTTCACCAATTTATCATTTTTCATCCAACAGGTCAAAATTTGACGTAATTTAAGATGCCTAAAGGAGCTCATGAAACGCATTCCAGATTAACTCCAACGAGAAACTGTTTGCCGAGCCCTTTGCAACATATAGCAGCTGAGAATGTCAAAACAGAGGTTTAACTTGAAATTGCAATCAGGGTACCCACAAACTTCACTGATCTTGATGCACTGTATCAAGTAGTAATATTAACCCCAAAAATTGCCCACGAATATAATCCGACTGCCAGGCAATTGCTCGCCTCACCAGTATCATGAGATGCTCCAGATCACGGCGGAGAGTGGAGGGGGGCTCATTGCCCAGCTGAAGGCTCATGTGAATGATTCGTGCATCCTCGTCAGCGCGATTGCGCAGCTGTTTCACCTGCCAAACCAAAAAAAGGTCAACTTTTTAAATTAACAATTGCAGTTAAATTCTAAACCTCAAAAGCTGTGATCAACCAGAACAGTTATTCACATTGTAACTCTCTCCTCCAACAGCCTTCTAAAAGTAACTCAAAAGCTCAGGTTTGATTGCACTACAAATTGCAGTCAATGTCATACATGTTTAGCTTCAAAGGTCACATTCACAAAGTTGGTACAAGAAATTGAATTACATGTTAAAATATCCTGGAATTAATGAGGTAATTCAACAGTGTCACTGCCACTTGTTAGCAAGCTCTGTAAAACTGCCCGGCTTGTGCTTTATTTGAGGTTGTCAGATACAAGTCAAAATAAATGTAGCCCTTGTCATAAACATACTGCAAACCTGTCATGCATAATCAATCCTAAAGCATGTCTCCCATGAGGCACAAAGGCATATATAATGAATAATTTCCACATTCCACCACATTGGTAGTTTTGAAGTTGCAATTTTCAAACCAAATGTACAAAAGAGGAAACGCACAATAGCTTCCAATAAAAAAAAATCTAGTTTGAACTCTGCATTAAATACAAAAGTAATTAGGAATAATGTTATGGCAGACATGTCAAAGAGATCTCACAAAATAAACTGGCTGTGTATTCTGGAATTGCACAACATAATGTGAGAACCATAGCCAAAAACTCCAGCACTTTAATGGGAAGGCCCACCAACTTCTCAAGGAAACTCGGTATAGCCAGTAAATGCTGGGTAAAGTAGATTCTGCTGCTTCAAGCTTCTGAATACATTGTTTTAATGGAGCAATTATTAATGGTTTTAAAGTTCTGTAATAATTCAAATTCTTCAGGACAGCCAGGTGCGCTCTGCTCTCATAAATAATAATTTCTTCATAATTAATAATTTGTGTAAATTCAACTGAACATATCATTCATTTTAAATGATATAACAAAGATGAATAATTTCACTATTTGCTGTGCAGGAGCCTCTTTATTCCCTCAACTTTATGAAGTGATAAGTCTGACTGAGAAAATACAAATCAAGTTTTTTTTGCAATTCATCTCAGTGTGTGAACATCACTGATAGAGCCTACATGTACTGCCTTTCCCTAGCAGGTGAGAAGGTGCACAGTTGGCCTTCTCTCTAAACCACTGCAGTCCTTGTGCTCCTACAATGAGAGTATGGACCAGAGCACAATAGTGCATTTCTAAAGTTATAAGGCCAGCAACTGAAAAGTTCAAATCCTGCTGCAGTAGTTGCATAATTTCAATTCAAAACATAAACATCTAAAAAATGAGTTTGGCAACTTGAGAGAATATCGGAAAAAATAGCATAAGCTGATCAGATTCATGTTTGAATCAAACAGGTCACACATGCCCTCAGGAAACAAAATCTAGCCGGTCATGCACACACGATATGGTTGAGGCCTTACATCCTCTTTGTGGCCACACATGTGCAGGCCATTGAATTATAAGACAACCTGACGTATTTAGTTAAAATGGCATGTTGGTTTCATTACCGAAGCTTCTCCAATTTACCTTCATTGGCATAAGTGCCAAAAAATCAGTGATGAGGTTGTGAACCCTGCGGATGTAGAACTCCTCTTGGTATAAACCGTCGGCCCCAACCAAAGCTTCAGTGAGAAAGAGGAAGGCATTTTGGCTTACAGCCATCTCTGCGATCAACTCATCTGCCTCTGTAAATTCAGTCAATGCTAGATTTTTTTTGGAAAAAGAGAAAGCAAATCACAAAGACAACAATTACAGGATCGCTATTCAAGAATCAATACACACAATAACTGCTTATGAATACATAAATTAGGGGGGAAATGTATTTTATAGGCACACATGTGCAAGGTATGCCAAATGTTCAAATATTTAAACTCTTAAGATAAATGTTTCAAAACAACTCAGATTTGTCTGCTGCAATAAATATATACCACCAGAGGGAGCTCCAAACAAAATTGACCTCGCTAGTTAATGTGAAGACATAGCCATGGAGTGGCACTTCGCTGAAAATATTTCTCTTAAAAATTAAAAAACTACATTTTTTAACAGTGTACAATCCTCTTAATGGGAGGGAGAAGCCCATAGAGTGGAAATGCTTCCTTCAGTTGTGTCAGGGTCAGGGATACAATAAAAGAATACCACGATGACTGAAGTAGAATTTCTATTTTAAAATAAACAGGCGTAATATAAATGCATCTCTCTGAATTAAAAGGTAAAACCTGGAATCTCAGCTCATTCCACAATTTAGCAGGAATAAGTTTTTATTTTTTGCAGATTTGTTTCAACATAAGAAAGAGCAGAATTGCAAGTAAGCAGAGTGAGGGGGTGGGGGCGGAAATCACAAAGAATCTTACCAGTAGTGTCAGGCAACTGTGAGATCCCTCGCAGAGCTAAGGCCCAGGCCAGTCTGACAACAGCTTGCAGGCCCGGAAGTTTCCAGGGCTGGGAGTTCTGCAATCTGCAGTGGATAGCAGCAACATACTGCCTTTCTGTCAATAATGGCAGCTGATGAATAAGTTCTAAGAGGAGAGAAAAAAAGATAAAAATTCAGAGGAACCTGAATGGAACTTGGAATCCAAAATTGCATAGAATGAATTTGCTTTAGGATCAAAATAACATGCCCAATGATATAACCAAATCTTTATTTACTTTAACCCCATCCCTTGAAAATTCCTCTCTCAAGCACCCTCTCAATCGGTCTTCAAATATGGGTGAATTATCTGCGTCTTTAATCAAGTCTTTAATAGAGTCACATCAACCCATCCACCTCCTTGCTCGGAATACCCATGAGCATGACGTAAAATGATCCCACGTGAAGGCCGGTATATAAATGCAAATTTTTTGAACATTTCAGCAGCATAGTCAAGCTTTGATGTAATGAAAGCGTGTATGAGGGTTTTGGTGATCTGCAGAGTGAGACAGTGGCGGAGCTGGGTGATGTTGCGGAGGTGGGGAAAGGCAGAGTATGTCATGGCACAGATATGGGGTAGAAAGGATATGAGGGTTAAACAAGACCCCCAAAGTTCCAGACTGGCTTACTAAGGTGGTGTATGCAGTGCAACCATGGATGGCAATGCTGTCAGTGCCTGAGGTATGGAGGCGCTGACGGGAGCCAATCAGGAGAGCTTCGGTCTTGTTGACGTTCAACTGAAGAAAGTTAGCTCTCATCGAGGACTTGATGTCTGACAGACATTCTGTCAGGAAAGCAGTGGTCCTTGAGTCAAGGGTGGAGGCAGAGAGATAAGAAGTGGGTGTCATCCGCATACATGGGGAAGTTAACCCCATGTTTGCAGGTGATGTTATCAAGAGGGAGCATATAGATATTGCTAAATGACAGTTGTGGTGGTCACATTTTAATCTTGGTCATACCTTCTCTGTCCTCAGTGCCGTGCTCCAAAAAACTGACATCAAAGCAATAGAGTAACGCCATGAGCAGGGCCAGATTCACGTCATCTAATGAGCCATCAGCTTCTGCCGTGACATTCTCAAGATGGCCGATCAAGAACAACGTGTCGTCTTTGCCCAGTGGTGACTGACACGTCCATGCAAAAAGGCATTCTGCCAGGGACTGCCTGCATTCTTTTATCAGATCCGTAACCTAAGAGTTGGGGAAAAAAAACATGTTAGCGGTTTGAGTATTCCTGCAAAATCGTGTCATCAGGAGAAATAATAGAACCAGCAAAATTGTCCAAATTCAAAGGAAAAGGATATAACTGTAGAACGCTTCAAGCCCAACACAGTCACATTTGACTTCCTTTTTTAGTTCTTAATTCTTAATGGCAGCAAAGGAGCAATTCTGTTCATCCTCATACCTTTCCAATATAAACTAACCGTTACACTGCATCAGTTGTTTCACGTCTGGGCTCTTCCCAATGAGTTATGATATCTGCGTCTTGGAAAATACCCTCCAAAACAAATTTGGCAATGATACACTACTGTTTTGACATGACAAATCAGCTACATTTTCCTAGTTCAAATGCTTCATATGCACCAATAAAGTTCATTTCCTTGCTTTATGGTTCGGTGCTGCCTGCCATTCTGTTGTCGACTATAAATTTTCTACTTATGCTTGACGATGCTTTACTTAGCATCCAAAGCCAATTCTCTGCATTAAACTTTTTGCATGTTCCATAACAAAAATACTAAAGACAGGTTATTTGCTCCTTCCAAAGTCCTGCTGAAGCTCTGAACACTTCTGTTTGCTTTTCTCTATGTACTCTGGACAACATGCTCCACTATGCAGTAGCAGAACCATAGAAATTGTAGATTTGGTTAACAACGGACTCGGAATTAGGAAGAGCATGACAACCTATTATCTCACCCTTTGCAGCCACCTGCTTAACCACAATGCCAATTTGGTAAAATATAGTTGCCTATGACCTGGGACAATAGAAAAGTGCAGAAATATTTGCAAGGCGATTTGCAGATCCTGCGGAAAATTGCGGGCAGGGCGAAAGAAGTTAATTGGTACTATTCAGGTGCATTTTACTGCAAACCTACATTTTTTCACTTTACTGATCAAAACTAAACATGAGGAAATAACACATATTAGATTGTTCCAAAAAAATATTACTTACTTCTTTAACAAAAACTGGGTGGCCCATTTTTTTTTCTGGGGGCACACATGGACACCAGCGAGGCTACAGGAGCTCACCACCTCCTGCCTCTCAGGACATGGCAACTGCACCCAGACACAGGGACCCACAGAGGGGCGAGCAGGGGCCCAGATACGCATAGAGGAGAGACACATACATACGCATTCACACAGAGACACTCAAACACACACATACAGAAGAAACACACAGACACACTCACAAACATACAGAGGAGAGACACACAGACATATACATAGAAACACAAACACATATACATACATAGAGACATACTCACACAGACACTCACAAACACGCAGATATACGTTCACACACAGACTCATAAAAACATAGTGAAAGACATTCATAGAGACACTCACACAGATACACTCAAACAGAGAGAGAGTCACACACACATTCACAAACACAGAGAGGGACACACACACACTCAAACACATGGGAGACTCACACACTCCCAAACAGATGAGAGACACACACACACTCACAAACATACAATCACAACAGCACCAAATGACGCCCATTTCCCACCCACATATACGAATCCGGAGCTGCCCCATCGACAGTAACATCAGGCAAACAGCGAGACCCACAGGGCAGAAACTACGTTATAGCGGGTTTGTAGCGGATTCCAGGGAATAAGTGTGACTGCACTTTTTTATTGGCCCAGCCCATGACCCTCAAAATCAACTATGGCCAGAAAGACCATCTCAAAGCTTGAAAGACTGTATGAATCAATGAGTTTTACTCACGATGAAATCGTTAGCATCACTGCGGTTGTGTTACAATTGTTTGCATGCATCAACCCAACCAACATTCAATATAAAATTCCACTGAGTTTCCGAATTCGTAGGAGATGGTTTCATTGAGTAAGAGAATAACTAGCAGCAGCTACAAATAAATGGCTGTCAATATAGGTCTACTGATAGCCAAATAGACTCAATGCACAATTCATGCAATACAAATTACTTGTGTATAGCACCTTTCACGTCAGGAGGACGTCTCAAGGCACTGGACAGTCAGGCATTTCCATTCCTTATTTCTGCACCTACTGAAGAAATTAAATACACTTGCGTTCTTACCCCTTTGCGATGAGATTCATTGCCCAAGCCTCGTGCACCCTGCAGTTTATCAAACTCGTTGTGGAGGTTAATTTGATTTATCAAATTCAGGATCTTCTGAGTCAGGCCTTGTTCCATCAGCTCATCTGTGAATCGTGTTGTCATGGACACCAGCTCTGAACTGCAAAGCAAATATTAACTTGTGAAATCCATGCATTTCAGGAGTGATTTTCCAGCATTTGGCATTTTCTTTTTCCTCTCCTCGTTCCTCCAAACAGATCTTATTTCAGATGCACTTTGGGGGTGACTATAACCAATAATTGGTTAATGAAATCAATTCATGAAATACATCAATTAATGAAACAATTAAACAAAAATGGATCTGCATCAGTCAGGCTGCTCTTGTATACTTTGGTGGTCAGACCAAGAACAGCATTGGAAAAGGGTGAGGAACAGGTGTTTGCCAAGGCTTTTGGCCAAGGAATGGAATGTGTTGCCGGCAGAGCACAAAAGAGAAACAAAATAAAGGCTTAACAAATTGGACTGGAATTCTTCACGGCTTGTCCTACGGCTATGTGTACTTAGATCTGCCCATACTCCAGTTCTAACCACACTAACTCAGTCCTCTTTTGCCTTCCCAATCTCCTTTCCTGCTCTCTCAGCAGGTGGAGCAGATTGGACTCCAGGGAGAGGGAGAAAATACTGTTTAAATACTGCAATCCAATCAGCTGGTTGCATAGCTCTTGCCTTCTCCAAACCAACAGTGGTGGTCTTTTGTTTCTATGCCCACAACTTCTGGTACTCACTCCCACCACCTCTCTATCTCCTTAAATCCTAAAGTCTGTAATCTTACTTTTAAACCTGCCTCCTCAACCATCCTATAGTCACCTTCCCCCTCTGGGTGTCGGACCTCATCTTTGCAAAGCACTCAGAAACATTATCCTACATGAAGGATGCTATAAAATGAAAATTGTTGTGTATGTGTATAATAAACTAACCAGCAGTACAAAGAAACATCTCTCAGATACCTTGGTTTCCCACATTAATTTAAGACACTTACATACATCAACTTTGACAATTACATATTTGCCCAAATTTGATACAACTCTCAATGTATAGATCCAAACAGTTATAAAACAGCTATGTTTAGCATTTTGAAGAACAGTATAGACAAGATTATGGCCAATCACTTCATAAAGATTACAACAGGAGCTGCTCAGAAGAATGCAAGCTGTTTTACAACAAGAAGTCACAGGTTCAGTCATTTCACCATGAATTAATCCGAAGCCAGCTTTGTAAATCAGTTTGTAGGGAATTAATTTTCACAATGGGGATCATAATCACTTTTCTCCATCCATTTCAAAATCTACAGTAGAAACATTACCCTGTGCGCCTGAACTTTTGCAGAAAAAGACTCATTCAAATTCTCACACATCAGATGTAAAATAAGAACATTCACACAAAATGTTTGTTTTAAAAATATATAGCGAGTATTGGCCAGACTTATCTTATAGAAAAATAACCATTTTTGTATCTACGGACTTAAATATTTTTCAATTTCAACTTCAAGAATTTGATTATGAATTATAGGGTAGAAGTCCCTTTTTCTTCAACCAAAGGCAATGGCCTAAGCACGTAGGAAACCCACAGTGTGAGTAATGGTCCTCCCGCCCAATACCAAACAACAAGTGTCAAAGGGCTTTTCAACAGTGGAGGCAATTCAGATCACCTAACATCCAGATGGAAAGTAGGATGCAGGTACTCTCAGTTCATTTCCCCCAGCATGGCAAGAGATCAGTAAATGTTGGTATCCCCACTGCTGCAACAGACCAAAACCAGGACTTTCTTAGACTGCTTAGCTCAATTCAACACACTGTGACACATTCCTTACAAAGTGATTTGGTTTTATTATAGGGATTCTTAAGAGAAAATTTCAACAAGTAGAACATTTTCAAACGGTCAAAAAATAACTTGTAATGCTTTGTGCATTTCATTCAACTGCATTTCTATAGGGATTGAAAGATAATATTTGCAAATGAGACACAAAGATGGTTTCTGAGTCACTTCATATAGATGACAGCAAAATGTGCTTGTTAGAATGCTGGCAAATTCTAGAGCTGTTGAAAACAGACCTGAGTTCCAAGGTCCATGTCTTGCCTTGTCGTGATTGTATGAGTGAACGCAAGGAGTTTGCAATGCATCTCTTTCCATCCCAGAACAACAGGATTCCCACCAAACCACGCGTCAAGCCAGGAAATCGGGGCTGCTGATGCTCACCTATAAAGCCAAAACAGTCAAATGAATGTACAGTACAGTGTATTCCATTTTCACTGAGGCCACTTATCAGAACACAGTTCTGAGCCAACGGTGCCCTGAGCCAATCATTTGTTAATTTTTATTTTTTCAAGTAGTCAAAAAACTGCTTTCAAGTCAGGAAAATAAAGCTTGAGACTTTTTCCATGTGACTGAGGCTTGAAGTTCCTATTTATGTTGTCAGTTTGGCTCAGTTGGGAATACTTCTCTCTGAGTCACAAGTTGTCGGTTCTAGTACCAGATGGGGACCTTGAGCTCAGTCTTAGCTGATATTCTATGGGAGTGCTTCAAAAGACATGCTAAAGCAATGTCCTACCCATCCATTTAAGTTGACGTTAAATACTCCTGGTGTCTTGGTCAACATTCCTAAAGATAAAATTGCTAATTTGATAAGAATAATCATCATATTCTTTGCATTTGATATAGCACCTTATCACATCACTGAAACATCCCAGAGTACTTCACAGGATATATTGTAAAGTGGATTGACTGTGTATTTTCTGGGTAAAACTGGCACACAGCAATGTCCCACAAACGGTCATGGAGTGAGTCAACCAATTTTATTTGGGGGATCGTTGTCCAGGACACCGGGAGCAACTCTCTTCTCGAATCGTGCTATGGGATCTTTAACGTTTACAGGCATACGGGTCCTCGGTTTAACGTCTCATCCGAGGGACGACACCATCGTTAATCCAATGTAACCCCAGCGATGCATTAGAGTGTCACCTTAGAATATGTGTAACCACAACCTTTTGACTCAGAGGGGAAAGTGCTACCACTGCATCAGGCTGACATATTTACCTCGTGGCCATTTGTAGGACATTACTGTGTACAAAGTGACTGCCACTTTGGCCTACAAATTTTACAACACTTTACAACAAAATCCTGCAAAGCTTTGTGAGATGTTTCGGCAACACAAGTTACTGTATCAAATCTAAGGATTATAAGGTGATCTTTCAGGCCAATTAGTACTCAGTCTGCACCAACCAGGTACTGTACTTTTATTTTTACAGAATCTAAGAAACTGAAAGCACTGGTCATCCCTGGTTAACCAGAGGAAATCACTGTTCTGTTATTCAGATTTTTGATGGCCAAGAATTCACACCAACAAGCCTATAAATGTATTCTTCTGAATTCAAAGTTCCTAACTTTCCCCGAATGTCATAACAACTACAAAATTACATTTGTATGTGCCTTTTATGTCAGGAAGACATCCCAAGGCACTGGACAATCAGTGTTTTGGACTCGAGATGGGGGTTGGGATCGGGGAGTGGGGGGGAGGAGGGAGGGGAAAGGAGGGTGATCGAAGGCAAGGTCCAAGAGCAGGGTCTTAAGATGAGTCTTGAAGGAGGCAAGGTGGAGTGTCTGCGGGATGGAGTTCCAGAGGTTGGGGGCAGAGTCACTGAAAGCTCGCCAGCCAATGGTGGGGCAAGGCGAGGCAGGGGACCTGGAAGAACAAATCATAGAATGTCTTCTCCTGGCCAACAATCCTACAGATAAATTGGTTGTTGACTTCATGGCCAGTTGGATATTGTTGTGAGCAAATTAGCTTCTGCTTTCATGTACAAAATACAGTCACCCCAATTTACAGTAAATCCTGTGAATCACTTTTAGACATCCTCTTGACGTAAAAGGTACTATATCAAGTGCAATAAGCATCCCCAGTGAAATTTAGAAATATTTCAGTTCCTCACTGCAACTCGACATACAAGAGTCACAGAGCAACAGAACTTCACGAAAGCGAAGTATACTTTGATGTTTCCATGAGCTGAATCTTATTCAACTCATTAATAATAAATGAAGCATTTGGGTACAAGTTCATGAGCTCATACTAGCTGTTTTTTTTAAGATTTTTTTTAACCTTTCTGAGATTAGCTGTGCATTCAGACGTTTCACACATCATAATATTACCCAAAGGGATCCCTTGTGTTTCTGAAAATTCAGAGTTAAACAAGATTGTTTTCCTCCTGTCACGTTTTTACAACAGCTGACAATTTCTAACTTCAATTTACTGAAACACTGTGACTTGTATTCTGACAATCACCCTGTGTAACACAAATGCAGAGTGCTAGCCATCCATTTTTGTGTCAAAGGATAAAGAGGTGGATGGCAAAGGAGTTCCACAGGTTTGGGATGAAGTGGCTGAGGGTACAGCCACAGATGGTGGAAAGGAGACAGCATTCTATTCAGGATATCAGAACACCATGGATTCTCAAAAAGAAACATTTCAGTGCCTCACTGCATAATACCTCGTACAAACATGCACAATTTATTTTAAAACTGATATAAAAATAATTATTTATCTTTATCCTTTCAATCACCAAATAAATATTTGTATCTTTGTTCCCATTTACTTACTAAGTCAAATGTGCCGTGGTGGTTCACCACAGATCAAAAAGATCTCAGGGTTGCTGCCTAGCTTGCGTCTCATTAGCTCATTTAAAACAGGGCTCTAAAATGGACATCACCATTCCTGATCTGAGCAGAAGGAGAATCAGAATTCAATTGCTTTTCAATGAGCACTTCAATAACCAATGTGTAAATGTCAGGAGAATGACACAGCTGTTCTTGGCTGTGATACAAAGTTGTGTGCTTAATTCTCATCATTCAGAGTCACATGATATGAATTGCCTCTTGGTTGAGGGCTTGCTACTCCTAGAACTAAAATCTCAAAAATGAGTCACCATGTTCAAAAGATGAGAAAAGGGACTTAAAATTCATATCACTCACTTCCAGTGTGAAGTGCATCCAAAACAATTATTTTTATTCGAGTAATAGCTATTTGAGTAATAGCTATAATCACTGTATTTAACATAGCACCTTATCAAAAACTGTAAGATTATTCTCACATCAAAGTTACTCAAAGTGCTCCTGAGTTTTCAGTAGTGTTCTGACTATTTATTGATGAACACAGAAGACCTGAAGTGAATGAGCAATTTTTTAATCTGAGGGATTGCCGGTCTGGATATTTAATGTACACTTGTATCTAAACAGGCAGATGGAACCTCAGTTTAACATCTCACCTGAAAGACAGCACCTACAGCATATCATCCCAGTGTCATCCCAAACTATAAGGTCAGTATAGTCTTGGTTGTATAGGGTTGAATGAACAGCCTTCTGACCCAGAGCAAGAGGGCTAACCAGAATGCTTATATTCAGAAGACCCACAACAAAGATGCCCATTGCTCTATGGGATGCTCACATTATCTCAATATTTTCACTACCAATTGAACTGTGGTGTGGGGTAACAATCAAAAATAAAACTTAAGAGAATGAACAGAAAAATTGAAAACGAATATTGTCATTCATGTGTTGGAAAAAGCACACCGAAGAAGACTGTCTTGAAATGTTGACAACCCTGACTCTTAGTGCATGTATATTATCACGTGGTGCAAAAGAAACTTATCATGAACACACCTGCCAGCAGCAGCTCTACTGCAGCTAGCTCCCCAATATCAAAGAGGTCGCTCAAGATGAAAGCCTCACTGATCAGTCGTTCTGGAAGCAGCCTTGTGCCCTGCTGGCCCTGGATAGAAATGCCCTCAATGCTCGCTTTCTTCACCTTCTCTCTGTGCTGAACATTTTTAGCCTAACAGAGAAGCAAAGGAAGCCAAACATTATTTTATTGCAAGAATTCCACTACCAAAATGCACAAAGTTCAAAAATACTTCCCAATTATGTTTTCTTCAGCAAGCATTTGACACTTGTAATGTGTTCCTTGCTATGATCCCATTAACTGTTATCTTTCATATCATTGGTTCTGCTTCAAAAAAATTGTCATTTTATAATTCAAAATGTGTTGCAGCCACTTCCCCCATTCAATTCATTCTTATTGAGAAAGTCTGTGGTTCAAAACTTACGGGGTTCTTGAAGAGGGAGATGAAGTCCGGTTTGTGTTTTTTGAGGATAAGATCTAAGAGATGGATTGCTTCAGGCTGACGTTTCCAAATCGCGTTCTCTACTGTCTGCCAGATATCTTTGTAAGGTCCCCACAAACTGGCAGCTGCAGAAAATAAACCATCAGTCAGACTTGAAAGTTGCAAAGAAAATGCAAAGCTACATTTACTGTGTCATGCAAAACATTGGACTAGGTTGGGTGGTAGGAATCTGAGGCAGAAAGACTCAGGTTTACAGCTGATACATTTATGAAATAGGACTATTTTTGCAACATGTCTATTTTGAGATTGTATTCATACTACCTAAAATTAATTTCCTTAAATTGTTTCACTTTCTAATTTACTAGGTTACGTTTCAAACAACTTGAGCTTTTCCAAGGTCAGAATTTTGTGGGCAACTTGGGTTGAAAAATTATCAAGTAAGACAGGGCATCAATTTAGCCTTCTACCATAAAAGGGCAAACCTTCAACCAGTCTGCTCCTGCTCTCTTGAATTCCTGTATTTTTAAAATCTGGCTAAAGACTTATCTCTTCAACTGTCATTTCAGCCATATTCTCCTTCCCTCCTCAGCTCTTCCCCCTAATATCAGAGACATTACCCCCACATGAAGAGGGCGATATAAATGAATTGTGGTTTTTGTTGTTTGGGCTCCCACACTTGCAATTATTATCTCCTCATCTTAGGCACTGGCATTTGAATCAGTGAGCCTGTGCAGAATCTCACTGCTTTTTTCAATCCTCAGCTCTCTTTCAAACCTTTCATCTATGCTCTGACCAAGTTCTTGTTTCCATCTATGAAACATTGCTCGACTCCTGCCTCCGTTCAGCGGCTCTGGTCTGCTCCATATCTCCTGCCCAATCCGCCCTACCATCGGTGGCTGGGCTTTCAGCCTCTCTGACCCCACACTCTGGAACTCCATCCCATGGCCCCTTCGCCTCGCTTCCTCCAAGGCCGGTCTCAAGACCCTTCTCTTCGATCGTGCCTTTGATTGACCTCCCACCTCTCTGCTTTCCCTCACCCCTAAACTACCCCTCCGCCATGCTTGGGCCCCGATACCTGACTGTTCAGCGTTTTGGGACATCCTCCTGACGTGAAAGGCGCTCTATAAATGTAATTTTGTTGTTGTTGCCTGCTTCAAACCACCCTCCCTCTGGAACTCTCTGCCAAAATCCCTCTGCTCACATTCCCTCGTCAGCTTTCAAATCCAACCTGAAGGCTGAGCTCTTCAACAGTGCTTTCACTGACCCACCTTCAAGCTCCTGTAAACTCCAATTAAATCATGACAGAAATATTAACCAATTCCCTTTCAGATGCTGATTGCAGTATTGCAGAAATCCCCCCAAAAATATTTAGCATGCAGACATAAAATATGGCTATCAAAAGTTTTGAGAACTTTTACAGGTTTATCTTTTTTTAAAAACAGGTTCCACAATTGTTCATTGAAAGCAGTTGATATGAGAATTATTTCATGGGGTTTCATCACTCCTCTAATGCTCAGGTTTAGGTGAAGCCTCAGCATAAGCCCATTATTTTATTCTCTTGTTTTGAATTAAGACTTTCAATCCCAATTGGTACCATCATGTCTTGACCAAACAATTATACTCAAAACACCTTAAACAGTTCTGTTGCATTGCCCTGCTTATTTAATAAATTATAATCCTTGTATTTGACATAGCATCTTATCACATTGTCAATAAATCTTAAATTGGCTTCTGCTACAAATACCAAATCACAAGATTTTACTGTGAAGTGTTGTGACTATTGTCTTTGTCAGCAAAAGCAGAAACAAACCTTAAATTAATTACAAATCAGGGGAGTTATTGGCCAGAGCAGTCAGTCACCCACTTTTGCTCCAAGGGCACCTAAAGTTGTCAGCCTAGCTCAGTTATAATAAATAATAATCCTTGCATTTGATATAGTGCTTTTCGCATCTTCTAGACACCGCAAAGTGCTTCACAGAATACACTATAAAGTGAATTGACTGTATATTTGTGGTCAAAATGCAGCAGTCTGCTCACAACAGTTAGTTGCATTCCTCAGTCAGAAGGCTGGGGGTTCAAATACAGTCTTCGTCAACACTCCAGCACAGAGTTGGGGGAAGAAATGCATTACCAGAAGTGCTGTCCTTTGCGTGAAACATTAAGGTGAGGTTCCATCTGCTTGTCCAGCTGTACATTTATACTATAGCATTATTGGAAAAGACAAAGGAGTCCTATCTGATAATCTCAGATAAAATTGTTCATTTCCTTTGGGGGACATTGAAGTGCATAAATTGGCTGCGGTGTTTGCCGACAAAAATATCCACTCACTGAACTTTCAGTATATGTTGTGAAATATAGTGACTTATCAGGTCATTTAGACATCTCAAAAGTACTGCACAGGATATACTGTGAAGTGTACTGACTGCATATTTTGTGGGTAAACCATAGCTGCCCATTGCACACAGCAATGTCCCACAAACAGCCATGGAGTGAGTAACCAATTTTTTTCATTTGAGAGAGGGGGATTGTTGGCCAGTATACCGGGAGAAATTCATTTCTCTTTTCAAATCATACTTCGGGATATTTAACATCCACCTGAACAGGCAGATGAGGAGCTCAGTTTAATGTCTCATCGAAGAAAGGACACATCCAACAATGCAAAACACCCGCAGCACTACACTGGAGCATCAGTTTTGAATTAAGACTTCCAATCCCAATTGGTACCATAATTTGTACCAACGATGGCTCAATCCAAACCCCAACATGAACCCACAACCTTCTGACTCAGAGGTGAGAGTGTGATATTATTGGGCTGATACCCATCAAATGCAAGAATAATTCTGATTATCACGAGATCTTTAACGTCCAGCCGACAAGACAAGAGGGGTCATCGGGTGAACGTGTCTAACCAACACAGGTGTGCGTGCGGTGCGGGTAACGTGTGTGGGAAGAAGCGGCAGCGGACCCAAAGTGGGGCTCAGGCCACTCCGGCCCGAGTCACGCTGCTCTCGGCCACACGTCTCTGAGCCGACAAAACCGCAGAGCCCGTCCACCCGCGCCCACCGCTCGCGAAGGACAGGGCACCGGAACACGCGTTGGCTTCGCTGCCAATGGCCGCCGGGAGGGCGGTTTTCTGTTTTCTTGCTGACCTGAATTTACCGCCATGGTCGGCACCGCCATGTTGAAAAGGAAGCGGAAAGGGTTCGCTGGCACCAACTGTCACCGGTGTGTGTAGGGCGCACACCCTCACGGCTCCTCCCCCCGCGCTTTCCTTTATGTTTACTCTTAGAACAAAATTACCGTTGTTTTTTACTGAGAAAAACCGCCTCAATTCCCAGGCAGTTTGCTGGGCACGAGCACTCCCTCCCTGAACGAGGGGAGGCACGTGACCACGCCCGCTGCTTGTCCGAAGTCGGACTACAACTCCCATCAGGCCGAGCGGCTAACAATGCGCGTGCCTTCTTCCCTTCCCCCCTCCACCACTTTTTTTAAACGCTTTGCTCACAACGAGGGGTTGTGACCTCTCCCACTCAATGCTCTGCGCGTCGGCCTTGAACTACGACTCCCTTGAGGCCGAGCGCCCAACCGGCTAAATATGCGCATGCGCCTTCGATCTGCTCCACCTCCGGAGCGCACGTGATTCGTTATTCTCTGTGATCACAGCACAAGAAAGCGATGCTGCAGCCAACTTTAGGCACAGGAACGTCCCCAAACAGCTCCAAAATGAGTGAACAATTTGATTTGGGTGATTGTTCACCAGGTCCCTGGGAGAGAGAAACTCCCTACTCTTTTCAGTTGTGCCATGGGATCTTTAATGTCCATCTGGACAGGCACAGGTGAGACCTTGGTTTACAACAATAACAACTTGCATTTATATAGTGACCCCTCACGCAGGGTAGCATCCCAGAGTGTTTAATGTCTCTATGTAGTTTGGGTTGACACGCCATTGTGCGGCTACCTCACCTTCTTACTGCCTCAACTGTCCTTCATAACCCCACATCCATGCCATGGCCCACTCCGCCTTTCCCCACACAACATCGCTCGGCTACGCCACTGACTCACACCGCAGGCCGCCGAGCCCCTCGTACACGCATTCATCACATCCAGGCTTGACAACGCAAACTCCCTGATTGACAGCCTCCCCAACTCCTCCCTCTACAGGCTGCAGATCATCAAAACTCTGCAGTCCTTGTTCTCGTTCGCACCAGGCTCCGCGACCCTGTCACCCCCACTCTCACCCGATTCTACTGGCTTCCCATCACACAGATGATACAGTTCAAGATCCTGGCCCTCACTTTTAAAGTCCTCCATGGCCTTGCTCTCCCCTCTCTGCGACCTCCTAAGCCCCTTCCAACCCGCCTGCTCCCTCCGCTCAGCGGGCTCCGACTGCTTCACGTCCCCTGCCTCACACACTTTACCATTGGCAGGCAGGCCTTCAGTCACCTAGCCCCCACCCTCTGGAACTCCATCCAGCAGTCCCTCTGCCTCAGCCCCTCCCTTGCCTCCTTCAAAACCATCCTCTTGTACTGTGCCTTCGGTCACCCTCCTTCCCCACCTGCCCTCCGCGATCCCGACCCCAAGCTCGGATCCGAAACACTGATTGTCCAGGGCCTTGAGATGTCCTCCTGATGTAAAAAGGGCTATACAAATGTAATTTTGTTGCATTGGAGTGTCAGCCCAGACTACATGAATTCCAAATCCCAATGTTGGGGGCATGAAACCCACAACCTTCTGACTCAGAAGCCGTGAATAGGGCCAGATCGATACACATAGGATGAGAATGGAACGAACAACAAGCCCCAATGTTTGAGACCAATTTTCACAAATTTCATGGCTTTTTGAAATTCCTTTGCATTAACACACCCCCCCCCAAAAAAAAACTGAGCCAGGCTATCACACGTGAGATGGGATTGGGGTGGGGGCTATGGTTTGGAATTGTGCTGGATAAAGAAATGGAGAGGACGACAAGACATAATACCAAGAAAAAAAGACGAATTAAGTGAACCAGACTGACACATACACTGATTGGGAGGGAAGAGAAGACTACACGTCCCATGACCCTCTGCGCGGCAGTGCGCGTGGTGTTCGGCGGGAACGGGTTGCGGTGATGTGTAGTGCGCATGCTCAGTTGTCTCCCTCCTCCTCTCTTCCCCCCCCCCACCCGCTCTCTCCTCCCCTCCCCCTCCCCCGGGTCTGAGCGCCGACTCACTGAGAGTTTCCCAGAGAAGAGAGAGAAAAAAAGATGGTGGCTGCTGTGTAAAGTGGAGCAGCGGCGCAGAGAGCGAGCGACCTATAATTATAACAGCAGAGAGGGGCACAGGCCGTACTTCTCCCTTAATCTCTTCTCGCCACCCTCGTCTGGTCTCGCCGGCTCGCCCGCCCGAGGCTCTTTTTCTCTCCCTCCCCCTAAATCAGACACACACGCGCGGGGGAAGGATTTTGTCGCAGCCGGAATCCCCGGGGCCGCGCTGGAGAGTTACGCCGACCAAGTGCTTGTTGGAAAGTCTTGGTGGAGGAAGCCGTGCGAGGGGGGAGGTGAGTGCGGAGGCCCCGGACAGTCGCAAACACACACGCGCACACAGAGCCCGGGACACCGGCCACTGCGAGGGGTAGGCTTCAATAGGGCGACCAGGCCGCGTCAGACAGCAGCGAAGGCGTTTGGGAGAGGAGGGTACGGGAAGCGCAGGAGTCTCGCCACTAGGATAGGGATGTTTGTCCTGAGGGGGGAGAGGGGACGACATAGGGCAGTTTATTTCGGAGTTTTTATTTAGGAAAAGTATCGAAATTAAACGTTTGGTTTATACAAGGGTAAGAGGGGGAAGGGGAGGGGGAGGGCGAGCCTTTTTTATTTGGGGAGGGGGTGGGTAGAGGTGATTCATTCACGCCCTCTATAGATATATAGATATATATATACAAGGGGGCACAGCGTTATTTAAAAAAAGAAAAAGAAAAGTTATTATTTTCTCATTTGTGATGGATTTCTAACTCGTTGAGGTGGCTGAGGGGGTAGGATTATTCCTGGCAGCTGACAAATTGGTCTTTCTGTTGAATGTTTACACTTAAAATTAGTCTTTTGTAACTGATGGTTAGGAAAAGCGCGCAGTTATTCTTGCATTTTTAGTCGCCTTGAACACTTTGGCCTCACGGATCCGAAGCAAGCGAGGGACTGTTCTGACGTGTTGTTATCTGGGCCCCATACATTCAAGGGTGTCCGCACAAGTGCATGTCTTCAAAGAGAGAAGAGATCATGTATCCTTACCGTTGTGGATTATGAGGCTTTTCCCCCTATGTTAGAGGTTATGGCCATTCATATGGCCCATAAGCTTTCCTTTACATTATTTGTAAACTTGACCAAGAGGGCTGCACGGGCCATTGAACAGTGAACACACAAGGCTATTAGAGTGGTAGAGGGGGGGAAAGGGGGTTAAGCTGCTTGAGATGCAGTATAACACCAACATTACATATTCAAAAATGTTGAGTTTGTGGACCAGCACAAAATGGATCTTTTTTTAAAAAAAAGCCTTGTCCTCTTTGTTCAAAATAAGAAACTGATGATGGAAATTCACAACTGAGCAGGAAGCATCTGAAGAAAAGAAGTTCATATTTAAGGCTTGACCCAATGAGCTGAAAGGTCTTGAGGAACATGTTAATTTATTTTTATTTTTCAGATGTTGGTTGGCCTGCCCTGCTGTGCATTTTGTGTGTTTTTTTCCTTTCATGCTTATACTGTCATGCTTGTATCCATAAATAAATTTAGTCACTCAGATTTAAAGGCATTACTCAAACAGCAACATAATAAAAATGTAATACTGTTGACAACTTGTTCCATGAGGGGAGGGTCCATGCAATTGACTATTTATAACGCAATAAGCTATCAACACTGAAGTTCATGGACACTAAATAAATGTAGTCAGTCATCTGAACTGATTTTTACCTTGTGAAATCTTTTTAAAAAAGTAGAGCAAAATAACTGACATCATTTTTCAAACCTTGTCATTTGGCAATGAACTAGATCAATCATTGGCATTATGGTATGTTGTAAATTTTCAGTATTTCAGCAATGCCTCCAAATGCTGAATATTGCTTGACAGATTTCCCACAATAAGCTGTTGCCAAAAAAGTAAATGGGGTTGGATTGCAGAGTGTCATGCTACTAACATTTAAAGTTTCAGATTATTTTTATGTACACTGACTTGGTTCATTTGGCGTTCTGCACAGATATAAATATCAAATGTGACTCAATAGTTTTGAAAGTGACAATTTTGGTGTTACCTTGATTGTTGGTGTGACATTGCCTTGCTTTAATCTGTTCACTCAACCCAAAAATGCATCAGTTGTAGCTTCAGACTACCTTGATCATTTTATTAAGGTCAATGTTCAAATGCTTGTAAAATTGCATATTTTCTGCACCCATATGAATGCCATGGTAAATGTAATCAAATTATTTGGTGGAGAAAGCTCAGATATTTATTTTTAAAACTGAGGTAATGTCTGATGATTAAGTACATATAAAGAAAAAAAATGAAGCTAGTTTTGTATTCATCTTATCACACATGGAAATAAATATAAAGACTTTGTTCTTTATCAATTTGGATTGAATCTTGATGGATAGAGCTATTCAATTTTCCTGACATTCCTGAAGTTTTACCTGTCGCTTTACCAAAGTACACCTTACCTAGGTGATCATCCATTATCGTATGAGTGGAGACACAATGTAGCTAACCTGCTCGACTAATGAGGCATCACGCTGAGCTCCATTTGATTGGCACCTGAGATCCAAAAGCATGTCGTCCATCAAACTTATTTTCCCTGCTCCCAATCTAGAACATGGCTCCTGCAATGTTATCCGCCTTGGCGGTCTCATGGTGGAAGTGGAACATGGAACCTCATTGTCTGTGTGCCTTTTAAATCCATTTCAACATATTTGTGACTGGGATTTAATGATATTAATACTGTGAATGGAGAAAAATGTCACATGGGAAAAATAACTGAAGTTGAATATTTTTTTTAAGAATTCTTACCAAAATGAAAATAATTTTATTGTAAAATATTGTTTCCCTGTGGGGGTGGGAAATCTGGAAAGTAATTGCCTGGGACCTGCCTTGACTATGTTGGGAAGCGTGACCAGAATGAGCTGAGTAGATCGTTTGAGTTCAGTGGAGGTAGCAGCTTTTGACCTGTCTTAAGAGCTGATGCAGAGCTGCTCAGTCCAGAAACGTGAAGCATCGGTGAGAATTGTATACTCGCTAACTGAGCATTGTCACCATTGTGTTCCGCAAACATCACAATGTCAGTGCTTAAAGATATGTTATAGTAGATATACATATTATTATGCATCCCCAGGAAGCAGTGCCACCCATAAACTTCCACATTGACCAATTGGAGGAATTTCGCTTATGATGCCAGTGATGTGTATGCCTTTCCAAATAATTTACAAACTTGGTGTTTAAAATTCTAGGTTGAAGCTAGTTGGCAATATTGATGCGCACGGACCAATGAGTTAGAGACTGAGGCACGTGTACATTGATTTTGTTGGTGGGTCTTGTTTCTGAACTGCTGTTCTGAAGGGTGCTATACTGCAAAATTTAGGGAAGAAGTTCTCTGAACCATTATCAGTGATTCAGGAACAGCTGATTCATGAACATTGCTCTCTCTGCAGCTTGCCCCATTTACCTTGCTTTTTTGCTGTGGAGCAGCTGCTCTTGAAACATGTCATCATGGCAGATCTCCTTTTCCACGTGATTGCTGTTAGTTTTGAGCAATTGAAGTAACCCGCCTTTTTCATGTTGTTAGTTGTGCCCTTTGTTGTTTCCTGCCTCCCTTTCTGATGACCGACTGGCTCATGGTAGGATATGGTTTGTAAGTGCCAGCCATTCATCCACCAGTACCTCTCCAAAGAGCCTGGACAGTGAGTGTTGCCAGATTGTTTGGCTGTGTTGGCACAGCTTAATCGTGCCTTTATCTCACATCGATTTCTAGGACTTACCATCATCATTCACTGAATAGTGATCAAGGAGAAGGACACTGATTATTTTGTGTTCTTGCTCTCTCTTGCCCACCACCGCCCCTAACCTACTTGTGCTGAAGACAATTAGAATGCATCTGCTGGAAGTCCAACAGAGATGAGCTCACTTGGTCAGACTGCGATTGAAGGAACCACTCATTTCACAAGTGTACCAAACAGGGCACGAGCATGTATGTTGCAGTTTTGTATTATTTTGCTTGTGGAGTGTGTCTCAAGCCTCGCTGTTCTCCATTGTTTTTCTGAGGAACAGGTGGCATTGCCTTTGGCTGTGTCACTGAAACTGCAATATCGGGTAGTGGTAACATTCTCCAGCCGTTTTATTAAACAAAATTATCACCAACGTATGCTTTTGCCATGGCAGAGGATCCTTGCTGCGGACGGGCTACAAAAGTAAGCAATACAGTATCTTATGTGGAACCTCACTTTTTTAATAGAAGTAATAATAACAGTAATCCCTAAATTTGATATGCCTTGCACATCAGGAGGCCGTCTCAAAACACTTCACAGGTGAGCTGTAAAGTGTAGCAACTGTCTATTTTGTGGGCAAATGCAATCCAATTTGTACACAGCAATGTCCCATAAACAGCTAAGTTAAGTGAATGACCAACTTTATTGGTACAATTGTCAGCCAGGACAACCAGGAGAAACTCAATTCTCTTTTTGAATAGTGACATGGGATCTTCAATGTCCACCTGAACGTGCAGACATTGCCGTGGTTTAACGTCTCATCTGAAGGACGGCACTTATATAATGCAGCCCCCCCCCCCTCCACCTGCACTTCATTGGAGTGTCCTGATGTGGAGCTTGAACGCACAGCTTTCTGACTCAGACAAGATTGCTGCCAACTGAGCCAGGCTGACTCACTGCTGCTCTTCACAGCATTGTTAAAGCTACTTTGTTGTGATGAACCTTTCGATTTTGAAAAGTGTTTGGCACGTTTTAAAAAAGCTCAAATAAACAGCAGTTTGAAATGGACATACTGTTTCTTTTCATTACCTGGTAGTATGTGATGGGGAGCCAAAGGGAAGCTGTTCAGCTTTCCAGCTTTGGTTATTTTTATCTTTGGGAATGGCAGGAAATTGGTCAGGGCTTCATTTTGTACATGTTTAATTTGTGCTGCTTTGAACCACATACAATAATCTCTGTTTTGGATTTTGGACGGGAAAGGGAGCACTTGAAGCAATAAGGAGGAAAATTTACTGGATGCGCTTGTTACTCTTGTTCTTGGGTAACAAACTGCAGTGCGCAATTGGCTGCTGCATTTTGCCTACAAAATAAACAGTCACTGCACTTTACAATATAATCTGTGAAGTGCTTTGAGACATCTCGAAGATGTGATAAGACGCTATATGAAAGCATAATTATTTTAATAATAACAAGCAGTCATGTTAAGGGTGCATGATTTGATACTGGTGATTGTCCCCAATCAATAAAATTTGACCCTGAGGTGAAGTAAGCCAATATCATCAATTGTTTCCGCACGCAGTGAGTTGCACTGCAACTGTTAGAA